ACTAAATTGATTCAAGAAGAGATTGGAAACAAATAAGAAAGAAAGAAAAAAAGCTTTCAAAAATGATTCATAAATGAATATGGAAGATTGATCAAAATGTACTGTGTTTACTATAAATCATTTTTAAAACGGTTTGAACATTTTTGTTTTTTAGTGTTCATTCAAAGTAAGCCTATGTAAATACATTCGAAAATAGCTTTCAAGAGACAAGGAGTTAACATTAGGTTTCTATTTAGGTTATATAAAATCAGATGTAATGAATCAAATATTCAAATATGAATTACTCCCTTATACTACTTTTGTAGTGAACAGAACACGGATGGGGACAATCGAATGTAATTAAACAAAATTACAGAGTATTTCAATAAAATCTGAGAACCATATATCAAATCGTTAATTTGCAAAATGTCCATCAGTTGTTTCAAAATGCTTCAGACTTACTTTGCCTTGCATTTTCATACAAATTGCATTCTATTCCGGCTCTGGCTTTCTTGATCTTCCCCCATCTTCTGCTGCCAAACTTTACATTCCTGACTCGCGTCATATACTACTTATATCAATATAAGTAGCACACACCACACTTTTAGACAACTCATGAACAAACTTATAACTAATGACGAGTAAATTACCTTCATTTTACTGAAACAAAATTCAATGATCAACATTTCAAGTTGCCATTGATTGTAATCATGATTCAATGGAATATGTCATATATACCTCAATAACGAGTTGGTTGAACTGTACCATTCATTCCTTTGTATTAATAAATACATGACCTCTATAAATGTTTTTATATATATCTCACATATGTTGCTTTCGTACTGATCAATTCAGTATTATCACTAAAATGTATTTGTTTTACATCATAAAAATTTACTTATGTACAAGATTACACTATCAAACACAAACTTTTAAATGTCTTATTTAAATTCATTAAACATAAAAATCATTTTACTATTTCAACATTTATCCAATATTAAAGGATTGATTTGCTTTGGCATCATTACAGCCTAAAAATTATATAATTGATCTGCTTATAATGGTAAACAACAGTGTTAGTTTGGCTAAAGAAATCTCCTACTATTGAACTGCACATACTAAACTTCATTTTATATAATTTACTGATAATCATGAAGTTTAACTGTACACATTACAATTCAGGTTTGTTTATTTTAATCGATAATCAACAGTACAACATTCATTTCATTGATTACACGGTCAACATGTTCATTATTACTGTACAGCTGTTTCTTTTTTTTCCCCTAGGTATAAAAGTTCAATTATTGTTTATAACAATAATTAAACAGACAAACTAGTGAATTTCTAAATACTTTTATCTTTACCAAAAAAAGGTATTTATCTAAACAGTTGGATTCACGAATGAATCTAATCTAGACCACCATCGAATACCTGGAACCACTAGATGGCTTTTTCGTCCCAGTATGGGATTACTCAGCAGTTCATATCCACAATCCCGCACGTAGGCTATGAAATCGGGATTTTCAATCTGGTGCAAAAATGCTCAACCTCTGTTAAACAACCACAAATTCCCATACAGATATGTGTTTAATAGCCAAAAAATTACTAATATGAAAAGTAGCTTAGTATGAGAAAATGTTAAGACAAGAAAATGATGTTTCATTATGTTCATGTACTTTTTTCGTAACAATGAATAATATACTCTCTCCTCTCTATTTCACTTAATAAAGATTAACTTTTACTCACGTGATATAAGATGAACCTGACTTATGGGTTAAACAGTGATCCCCTTATGCAATTGTTTATATTTGTAGAACATTATTACTTAAAATCGTTTGCCATTGAAATGTAATGCTGAAAGCCTTATTCAATATGAGAAATTTTAGAACAGTAAAAGGCCTTCAACACAAGTTATATAATATTGTAACAAATATCTCTTTCATATGCATTCAAACCGTAATTATTTCGAACAAATGGTAAAAATGAACTAAACAGTCAGTATCTTCCATGAATATTCAATCGATAATGCTTTTTTAGTCAGTTCAGACGCTATCATTATTTTTATCTATCCATCGTATAAAAAAGTGCTTGAATTCCCATATATAACTTGCTTATATCAAAAGATGAACAAAATAGTGAAATATGCCAAGAACTTCAGAATTTCGATTTTAATTTTCCAGTATTTAATTTTGTTATAATTTGTAAGCCTTAAATAGTTATGAATCAGTACATACAGTTGACATTAAGAATTATTCAGTTCAAAAAATTTAGGCAGTCAGTTTTAATACACTAATTTTAGAAAACAGTTATCCCAAGCATTTCAACTGAATAAGTGTAAAGACGGTCCATGGGTGAAGTCGAGGAAGCTCTATGAAGCTCAAAAAGAGTCGAAGATATTCCATCCAATCATTTGTTAGAAGAATGTTCCAAAATCTCTACGTGTAGCTTCCCTATTGGACAAATGCTAATAACCCCTGTGGGTGAATTGGATAACAATAATGACGATTTCGTTTTTACCAAAAGCTATAAATACTTAACAGTTTTGTACCATAAATGACACTGTTTGTAATAACATTCTTTTCACTTGTCTTCTGTCTTCTCATTTGAAACTTGAGAAAGTTCTACCGTTTAAGTGCTCAAGTTATACGCGGTATATTAAGAATCTAAGCTTCTGGAGATAACAATAAGAAAAAATAAAGTACAACCATAATAATGTAACTCATGTAACTGGGTGAAAGTGTAAATTACACTTTTTCTAAAATGGTGCTTTTTCAGTGCAATATTTTTTTTTATTTTTATGTACTATTCAATATAACATTGATTTACTTCAGAGAGATGTTTATCCAGGATACAATATTCGTGTATTAAATTAACGTAAATTATGTTCATTATGACATAAAGTGTGCGATTTTGCTACAATTTCATATATGTGACTTTTTGTTTACTAATTAATAATTAAAATAGATATACAAATCATCTTCGACTGGAGACATCTTCACTTCTACCAATCTTAATGTTCTTACTTCGCGTCATCGTAATAACAATGGTTCATCGTTCTTTCAATTATAAGTAATAATCAACGCGGATACGATAGAAACAGTAATATGGTTGAATCATAAAATTACAATCACAATAAATATAATCTGTAAACCCTTAAGTAATTCAAGAAATGCTTGAAATGTTCTAAACAAATCAGTCCTTTCTATTTATATTCAGTAAAATGTTACAGTTCATTCTAAATTCATATAATCACATTTATAAACCACTACCCCTAAACTGATATGTTTACTAGATTTTCTTTATAAACTCAAACTACTCAAATATATACAAATATTCGTCAAGATTAGAACGAGTAGTTTGACAGAAATTGCACGCCGAGTATAGAGCAGTCAGTGATTGAAATTTAAATAATTCTAACATTTCCTCCAGCTAACTTGTCTGAACTTGTTTAAGGTAATAATCAAGTTAACTGGACGAAACGTTGGAATTATTCAAATTTCAATCGCTGAGATTATTTGAAATATAATTTTCACATATAAAGACTACTCAAATATAAATTTTAACCTTTGTATGTTAATGAATTCGAAAATATAACTTTTAACACATTTTCAACCTTTTTATTTATTCATTATAGAAACATTACGTCGGGAAATAGAAGCAGATATGGGAAGGATCAATAAGAACTGGAAGGAGCTGAAAAGAATTACCCAGGACAGGGTTGGATGGAGAATGCTGGTGAACGGCCTATGCTCCTTCACGAGGATTAACAGGTGTAAGTAAGTAAGTAAGTAAAAAGTTGAACGTTAACTATCATCTACTGAAAGTATAAAAATTCTTTGTTTTCCTCAAAAAGAAAACATTTTTTTCCTTGATCGTGTTCTTTAAATCAAACTCAAGTTACAAACGATTAAAAATTGGTTGTTTTGTTCAATTTATTTGAAAATTACCAATAACATATTTGAGAAGTTATTTCCATAGTACTACATTTAAGTCAATGTAAACAAAACCATTATTTCTTTTGCTTTTTCCTTTGTTTCTTTTTTCTTGATCTCACTTTTATTACAAACGTCGTTTACACCCACTTACTTATTTGTCAATATTTAATGAAGTGATATATTCGTTTCATGTAAGATGATCATTATCTTTTGTAAACAATACATACATATATGTACATAATTCAACAGTGAATTTATACTAATCTCAAGTGACATGTTAAAAATAAACTGGACTTAAGTATGATATGAAAGTCGTTTTGGATGTTTAAAACGTATATATATATATACAAGTGCATTGTTAACAATAAAAAGAAAGAAACAAATGTTATTTATTCAATCTAACTACTAATAAGTAAAATGTACACTTACAAAAAACTTTTTATGTTAACGTTTCATTGTTTCCCTTGCAAAGTTGATAAAATAAGAAATTTTTATCGGCTTTATTGAGTATTGTGGTTAAGGCATTACAATTAACTTTGTATTGTATTGGTAAGATATTTGGTTAAATACAATGATGACTTGTTTGCTTGATCGAATGTTGCTATTGAAAAAGATAAGTTGCATGAGATTGTTCAATGGTCTGATTACTTCTGATCTATAATGATTTTGATCGACAAGTAAATTCAGTTAGTGAATTATTAAAAACTCAGAAACAATGATAAATAGAAGGTTTGTGATAGTTTTGGACATTTATTGATAGACTTCAATCATTACATTATAAAACATTGAACTTCAAAACTTAAGGCCATAAGATAAATGTGTTACATTTAAAATCAAGGACCCATTGGTTCACATTTGAATCAATATACGGCACATCATGACGATCATTTCTTAATATCGCGGGTATCAGTTTCACCACCAATATAGTTGAATTCTATCCGTCCAAACTTCCCAATGAAATTCATTAACTAGGTCACCAGTGACTATATGTTTCTACAAATTTAAATTTGTACATAATGTACAAACCAAAGAAATATTTAAATAGGCTTCCTCCTTCAATAATTGTACAACCGTTTCAAAGTATAAATGAGCAATTTAAGACCAGCCAAAGCTATTTGTAAATCAAAAATGGATAATATACAAGTAATAATCAATAGAAAGCAACACGGATATGACCAGGGTGGTAATACTAGTAGTTAGCATTCAAGTAACGAAGATATTAAGACGGAATAAATGAATATCTCAAAAGACGAAACTATAAAGTTTACAACCAAAAATTTCTTTTGTTGCTATTAACGTAAGATTAAACCGAATGACTTTCCCCTAGCTTCATTCCAATACATACAAGCGTAACACAAGCTAATGTGCTGAAGTGAACAATAACAGATAACGATAAACCTGTAGTAGCGTTACTAGAAAAAAGATTTTCTTAAATTAACATAGCAGAAATTCACTTACAAACTTATTAGATATTCCTTTTTATTTTAGATACTTAGCACTTACACAAATAAGCGCAAATTACATTGGAAATGTAGCCGCAAAATACCTGGTACGACCGAGGCTAAAAAGTCCACTCTGCCTCCTGAAATGCACTCAGAAGCCAAGCATATACAACCACTGCCAGACAAAGCTTATTCATTGTCTCTCGCGCACCAGGTTGTTGTATAAGAAGTGTAATGAATATATTTGATGCTTCTTTTTACCAATGTTTATGTTTTTAAATAAAAATAAATAAATCATTCTATTGTAGTCGGCATAGTGAAATTATTAGCACACTTCACGAACGTATCAGAATCTAAATAGATTTTTACGCAGATCGTTAAGAAAACAACGAATTTTCTTATGACTAACACTTGAAATATTGATTGAGTTTAATTTATTAGATACTGTATCTCTAGATCTCGAAAATTATGTAACTCAACACATGACAAATACTATTCTCATTGTTCTCTAACTAGAAGACAAATCGAGTTGGAAGAAAACGTCGTTCTGTTGTTTTTGACGAGTCTGATGATCCTACGTCATGCGATGGGAATTCAGATGAGAAAACTGATCATCCTCTTGAGAATATGGAGGAGCTAGATCCTGATAAATCGACCGGAAATCAGCATACGGAAACGGGACACACAAATAATGTACATGTAACTAGACGTCGTGGAAGACCTGCTCGTCTTCATCGTGTATATAGTAGTCGTGGTCGTGGTCGTCGTTCAACGAAATTTCTGTCAGAGAAAGTTAGTCATTGTGATAAAACTGTTGAACCGAGCTTAGAAGTTACTTATGCATCTCCCGCATCAGTAGATATGTCATCGATCAGTAAATTGTGTGTTACTGTGGATGTTCATTATGATGATGAAGTCGAACAGTTGCTTAGTCCTTTAAATTATCAAAGAACGCAAAGGAAAAACGGAGCGAAATGACGCACAGTGGAGAAAACCTGTGAGTCAACTCGATGTAATCAAGCGTTAATAGATGTTCTTAGTCGGATAGATAAACGTTACAGACAAGTGATGAATAGAATGAGAGGTGCACATGTACGCTTACATAGAAAGTCAAGGTTGGCAAGCGAATAATTGACATGCTCGAAATGTGACTCAAGAATAGTGAAGATTGACTTGTCTGGAAGTTATAATAAGTTGTGTGGGCTTAATATAGCAACCGACACTACATCTTCCTGACTCATGCTGTCCTATTTACTAAAGTCAATTTCTTAGTATGATTGGATAAGCATTCAATGTAGATCTGATCGTTAAACGTTATATATTCTTTGGTAATTTTAATTTCGATTATTTCCCTGAAGTACGGACATGTTTGAGGGACCACATTGTTGAACTATTCAAATTTCAATCTGAGATTATTTGAAATATAACTTTTAGAAACAGTGTTTCTTGTATACTTGGAGTCTAATTTCTGACAAACAATTTGTTCAGGCGTTAACGAATATTCGCATAAAGTTAAATCGACTCGAATGTATCATCTGCGTAAGGATTCAAACCAATAATGGCATCTTCCAATGAATGATAAATATCCAAGCTTTTTAGGCTCTCATGAAGAAATGGTAGTTGAAATGGATTATCTTCAGTTAATCTTAATCAAAGATTGAACGAGAGTATTATTATTATCGCTTTTCGAAAATCAATACATCGAATTACTGCAAGAATGTTAATTTTTATGAATATCACTTTTTCTCATTCATCAGTCAGTTATTCACTATCTTGAAGAGAGCGACCTTAATATCTTAAATAACCAATGCAAAAATTAAATCATAAGGATTTGATACATTTACAAATCTACCTGTTATTCTACACAGACAACCGACTTATTTCCATTACATAATTTTACTTTCTAGTGAAGCGACTTAACACACAAACAAGGTGACTAATTGGATAATATTTTTGTAAAGACATGTATGTTTTTTATACCCACCGATACAAACGACATTGGGTTACCCGATATATTTAATAATCCAAATGTTATTGTTTCCATTCTGATAAAAAGTTATTGATTTGTCTAGTCTTGTATGTTTGTGAATGCGAATTGTATGTTTTTTTAATGTTCAATACGAAAGGGCCAACACCGATGATTATCATGTACTGAAAATATGATGTTAAGAAATAGGTTTCTTTTTCCAAATTATTAAAACCATAACTAATTCTATCATAATGATTAAACTAAGTAATCCATAGAGTAAATCACAATAAATATGTAATTTGTTCTTGATAGAACTAATATCTAAGAGATGATAATGTTGTCATAGAGTTCAAGGCGTACAACACCTCTAAAACTGTCTAACTATACCGTTAAACGTCAAAAATACTAAGATACATCAGATGTTTAAAAACCTTATTATTAATTTAATATTTGATACATAATTTAGTGGGGAAATTGCAAATGGAGAACGAATTATAGTTTATTTTAAAATCTATGCCAGCCGATCACATACAACAGTCTAATGATAAGTTTCTTTCATTCTTCACAATAAAACTTTCAAGCCAATATAAATGATATACATAATTTATTAACAAGCATTCAGCACTGATATTAACTTATCATTTAAATTTTATTAACTTCTTAATTAGTTGAATGTGTAAAGCAGAATACAAATAAAGTTGAGGAAAACAAACAAATTTGAAAGCGTACAGTACTAAAATGTTAGTTTTATTATGAAAGCATACATTTTTAAAAATGAATTCAGTAGATATAACAACATCATGCACGTCCATAACAAAATGTAGTAGCGTGCAATGAACTAATATGTACAATATAATCATCAACATTCATTTACATTTTAGCATACCAATGATTAAATGCAAATAAACTAAGGATTTCGAGTCCCAGAGTGAACGTCAACCCTGGGACGAAGGTACATCTAGCTGATGAGTTCGAACTAGGACGAAACGCGCGTCTTGGATTCCACTGCTAGTCGTCATCTATCTCTCCATATAATATATATGACTTAAAACAAGCCGCACAGAGTGCACATATTCCAATAAGAGACTGATCAATTGCAGTCCTAAACGTCAACGGAAAGATCTAAACAAGCAATACAAAACGAATTAAGGATAAATTAAAAGTTGTTAATTTGCTAAATTTCAGTATACAATATATATCTGTTAACATGAATGAGTGTTAAAATCCTCATCTGTCATTTAATATCATTAATTTCAGTAACTAATGATTATGTCTACATCTGAGAAGACAAGAACTAAGTCGAAAGACTGATTCCAATTGTTTTTGGTTACTTAACTATTCTTCAATTGATACTGATTCCTTAGTTAAACAAGTTTTAACTGTTTATCAACATAAGATTAAATGGTAAGACACACTTTTCTTTGGACAAAAAGACGCTTTATATTTCTCTAACTTTTCTGATTTCATTTTGTATCACCAACTAAATAAAATTTTGATAAAAACAACCGATCCTAATTAAAATTTCACTGATAAAATACAAACTAATTGATTACGTGAAATCAGTTTACTTCTTAAAAAAAGCTTTTAGATTATATTGATAATGGTTAGAATTTGTAAGTTACAATCTTCATAGATCGCATAAGCGACACGCTTGAAAATCAGTGATCACTATTCAGTATTTGGTATTGATCTTTAATCGTGAAAGGTCTCTATCAGAGAAACTGGTACATGCTACAAGAGATTTACACAATCTAACAGTTAGATTGGCAAAAGGTGAACTGACTTAATATTATTTGATTAAAAATCACTTTATGAACGTGAAGCATCAGCATCATCATAGAGTGAAACGGCTATAAACAGAAAATATAACTAATTGAATACGTCTCATAGTTACTACTTCCTAAAATGTAAGTACATGTCATAACTGATGACAGCAAATCAATTCCATAGATCACTTAGATTCTAATCAATTAAGACACTATCCATTATATCAGTCTATTATTAAGAGATTTAATCTTATTAAACAGTAGCGAAAGTATTCAACCTAGAAACAGACAATTGTTTTTACAAACCTTTTAATTTTTTTCATAAATATTGCCTTCTATTAATCAACATTTACATCCCAAAGCTAATTTTAATCTAGTTTTTCTCATATTGTATTACTTTCCAAATAATTAAATATTTCTAGTTTGTAAGCAGCTGTAGTGAACTCTCGAAACAAATAAATTCATGTTATACCGTTACTTTCTTTCTACTTATTTAGTCAAAAATATTTCTATTATGATGAAAAAAATATTCATCCTAATTTAAGATAACAAACAATTTAGCTGTGAAAAGAATACAAGCGTATAGTAGTTAATGTATTTTCATTTACCATATGATTTACTGTGGATAAAAACTTTGTTAAAGTGAAACGTTTGTCGTCGATAAAGTATCAGATTTTAATAATCATTATAGATCAGACATCGACTTCCTTTTTTTGAATTTTTTCCACGTCACAAGAACGCGTCAACTAGCCAATTTACACTTTAAAGTGACCAGATGTGAAATATTTTTCAGTTGGTTGTTAGAAAACAATAGGCAGCACTCATATTTAACTACATGAACATGTAGGTTTGATGGTTCAGTTTTTTGGTTTACATTTGGCCAAAAAAAATTGATGCGACTAATTTTTAGTCGAACTGTTGTACATAGTAAATAATTTGTATCTATGATACATTTATGTACTTAAAGAAATGAAAACATCAGTGAGTATCGAAATTTTAATTTGTGCCAATGTAATCATACATCTTTGAATTTAATTGATCTTGCAATACTGTTTTGCTAACTTCATTAACACTTACTCTTCATCATCATTGGTTTATTAAAGACTTGAGTTGCACATTTCGACTACAATGTGATTGCTAGTTACAATTTGAATTTCATTGGATAGTTTATTTTTTAACCAATAGTTCCGAGTTAACCAAAATTAAGTAGTTTCCTTCTATACAAATGTAATAGTGTAAACTATAACTGTACTGAGTTGTCTCATTATAGCCTAAAAAGTTTTAAAAAAATAATTTAAACAACAAAGATTATTAACGATTACAATTTATCGTATTCTTGGTTTATGACAGGTAGACATTACTGAGAAAAAACTACTATTAGATAATTAATTTTACCATCCATTGGGAAATAGTTATTACCTGTAACCATAAAAATGACAAATCATCATTGTCATTATTATGTTTATAAAAGTACACATATTTCCATGACTATTTTTAATTGTCGTATCATTAGGAAGGTGAATGTTTTTGTAGTTTTTACAACAACAAAGATTACTGAATCATTCTGAATTAATCATCCAGAATTAAATATTCTCACATGAGTTGTACATGTTTACGGTCAATTATCTAAGTTCTTTTTTCGTTCAGTATCATGAGATTACGAAATAATGGCTTAAAGATAACGAAATCTGACATTTCTAACTGCTGCCTCATTTCAGATATTAGATTTACTCTACAGTGAAATTGTAAACATGTGTTTTCTTCCTATTGACTGGCTTACAATCTTATGTCAATAACTGACGGAAGCTATCCACAATGAAATCTAAATTCAAAGCAAACATACAAGTGATTGAATTCGAAATTATTCCAATCGGTTACATAACTTTTCTTTATTTCAGTGGAGACATCAATGTTGTTATTCATATTTACGAACACTGATTTAATAGGCTAATCAGTCGCATACTAGGACAAATCAACAATCTATAGTTCCCTGGTTTTCGAAAATTATCTGATTTTGACCAGGCTGAATAAACCTACAACTGAAAAGTCTCCGCATAATCAATAGCTCTCACTTAGTATTACTTTTACCGAATGAATATGTTATCCTCTAATTGAATCAACAACAGTTTACTTATTGAGGATGTCGAGTTAAGCCTTGGAATTCAAATCCTTGAAAACCTTAAATACAACAAAGAACTAAAGCTTTCTCATATATATTTACATAGATTATTTAACAGAACATTAAAAATCCAATTCTCGAAATATCGGTCAAATTATAGATAATAATCTATCGATAAATTGACACTACTAAAAGGCAATTATGGGATATAAACACTATTTCTATGCAGTGTAATTTATGTAACAATATACTCACGTTTTAAATTCATCGAACTCTTACGGCATAGCATTCCACAAATTACTAGATATCTGAAAATTTTCAATTACCTCTCTACACAGGTCGTTGTTTAGAAGAGTTAAAGGAAAATGAAGCATGGTTAACACTATAAAGATGAACCAATGCAATTAAGTCAGAGGTTAGATAAAACGAATAGAATAAATCAACTGATTTGACAAAGGGATACCACATCATGATACTCATGTAAAATATTTGGACACAACTCAGACTACTTACTATTTTTAGGTAGTATGATGAACATATGGAAAAACGAAGACGCTTATGACTAGATGACAATATAAAGAGGCCAAAAATAGACTGAACAACTGCAGTATCTAACACAAGGATCGGTTAATTCCAAACTCTTACAAATAGAGTATAACGATAAGACTAAGTTATAAATAATTAACAGATGATCGTATTTCGTATTTTCAAGTTCCCGATAAAAATCCAAAGATTAGTGATTTCTAAAGAATACTTACAAAACCTAGGTGGTAATCAATGAAGAAAAATGATAATATATACTCAGTATGGATGGAATTCACATTCTTAGTAGTGAATGAAAATACATCTCATTCACAAACAATTGTAATGAAAAACTCAAATTTTTTAAACAGTTAATAATGAGGATAAGACTATCGCTTCAATGGAAATAATAAGATCAGCATGAGAGGTGGCAAGTAGTACTTATAAAGTAAGTTGTTTGCTTTTTGATTATAACCAACGATTCAAAATCGAATGAGATACGGTCAAAAGTAAGTAGGGTCAGCACAAACAAAAACATCATATCACATCTTATTGTTTGCTCTCTTTCAGATATTTTGCCAGTCTTCTTGAAATTGGTTTCAGACTATATCTAAAGATAATAATTTAAACTAATTCAATTTAGAACTTTTGTTATACACTTACTAACAGAAAATGTACTAAAAGAAAATAGTTACGAAAACTATTCACTATACTATCTCATTGAGTAATAAATTCACCAACTTGAAGAGTAAATAAGAATTCTTAAATAAAGACTTACAGGTAACGTTTATTGAAGGATAGAAAATAGTAATACAATTTACCCAACTACTTGAAAAAGCTTTTAAAAATCTTCCAATATTTACTGGATAAACACTTTAATAAGCTATAAAACAAGAAGTGAAATTAAACATTAGCTCTTACAAAACAATCAAAAACACATATCGCTTTATCCTTTATGAAACATTATGAGAATATCACATAAAAATGACTTAACTGATAGATTAAAAGTAAAGAAAGGAATTACGTGTATTGATAATTGGTTTATTTCTATATTTTATTACAATTTCAATAACAGTCTGCACATAGTAATAAAGAACGAAACCGCACATACACAAAAAAACAAATGATGAACATATACAAATCGAAACAAAAAGAAAGAGGTCATCAATTGACATTATTTTCAAAAGTGGTTCAGAGAGGAGAATAAGAAAAGTAGTAACAACATACTTACGTTTATCAAAACAGGACTTATTATAGAGAGCGAAGACGGAAAGGGATAGTGAAAATACTCATTTTCTATTCATTATGTATATAGAGTGATTTTACTGTACAAAAATAAGTAGTAAAGAATGAAAAAGGCAATAATAAATATACACAATAAATGTAAAACCGCATATTTCAATTAACATAAAATCATCATCATTACCGTTTGCGTTTTCCACAATGACTAGTAGTGAATAATGGTTGTGATTGGTGGTGATTGACAGGACTTAGACTTTCACTGTCAATATTATTACTGTTATTTAAAGAATTAGTAACAGTATTACTACTGTTGCTATTGTTACTATTAATGATATTATCATTAACAGTGGGGATATTCAATTGTTGTAACGCTTTCAACTTTTTATTCATCTGTTCTAGTAAATCTGAAGCACATTGATGCAAACGACTACCAGGACGATTGCTACGCAGCCAATGAGATAGGAGTAGTCTAGAAAAACCAAAATAAACGAAGAAATATGTATACATTAAATTTTAGATGAGAGAAAAAAAGTATAAATTTATTATGCTTATAGAGAGAGCAATTACGAATTCCTTATAGATAACAGTAAACACATAGAGTTGAGTACAGGTTCAGGTATTAAATAATGTAGAAAATGAATATGAATTGGGATTCCGTTGTGTCATAGAAGTGAAGAATATCCGGAACTCAGAAGAACCGACATACGATATTGAAGTCAGGATTTTGTACATTAACGTTAAATCAGTGCTATTATACCGAGCTGAAACTTGGAGGAATATAACCATTAGCATCGAAAAGGTACATGTATTTATAAACGGTTGTTTATATAAGATACTCCAGATACAATGTGCAAAGAAGATTAACTATAAACTACTAAAGCAGAAAACAAACCAGTTGCCAATTGAGAAAGAAATTAAGGACACTGAAGTTGAGCAGAACACGCTGAGAGGAAACTATCAAGCCTGGCTACGTAAGGCAAGCCCTAACTTGCAATCCTAAAAGCGAAAGAAAGGGATGGACAAAATAACACATGCCATTGGGTAATGGACACAGACATCAAGACCATAAACAACATTTGACAACAACTGGGAAGAATAGCCCAGAATAGTTTGCTAAAGATCCCTGATTGGTAGCCCATGTCGCAAGAGGAGCAAAACTCTTATTAAGCTTGATTTAGTTTGCAGTAATTCCTAATAACAAACGACTAAGACTATTCTACTATGGACGGGGTCTATTGCAACTGGCATCGAACACTTCAATATTATCCTCAAACGACGGAATACAAAGAAAAGGTAGAGGTGTAAAGAAACTTGAAATCGAACAAACAAGAAACATGACCCTGGGGAACAGGAAAATTAGCCAACTAGATGTGATCACAATCAATCAGAAAACAAAAACTGTTATGAGGAAATATGGACCGGAAAAGATGTCTCAGAGGTCACTGTTACAAGAAATAAGTTACCAATCATTACCACAAACTACATAACCTTAAGGTAATGCTATACCATTAAGATAATGTAATGAGATTCTAGAGCCCATGTGCGCGATTGGTTTGGAATCAAGGTTTTCTAACGCCCCTAGGTGGACTCTCCTTGTCTACCAACCCGGTCAAAGTGCCGGACATTCACTTTTCGTCCTCTCAATTTCGTAAACAACAGTAATCCCGCGAGAAGACAGTGAGTTAGTGTATGACCACCATCAAATCACTGGTGAGTGTATCTAAACGGCAACTAAATAGACGATATTTCCAAAATGCCATGATGAATGATGTTTCATTCGCTAATATCTCAAACGCATAAAAGATTAATTCAAAAACAAATGGTCTTTTTTCAAGATAGAATAATTATATGACACCTGTAATTCAGCAAAATGGAAATGGGATACAAAAAATAAAAGCTGGTTCATATGGCGGATGATAATATTATTATCCGTATAAAAAAATATGAAACAAGATTGGAATTCTATACAGTAAAGCAACTAACCGCAGCTGAGAGATTACTTGTCCTGGTCCCTGAGGTAATTCTCCACGAGCCAAAATCTCTTGTAACCCGACCAAATCTAGAGCATATAATCTACGGTCCTCAGAAGAATGACCCGATGTTGTTGAGCGTGTTCGATGACTTGCTCGGGAACGTTCAGATAGGGAATTAACGACGAAACTATCTTCTGAATTACCGTTAGCTTGATTTAATTCATTCAAAGCTACAGTTCGACCAAGACCACATCGAAGAAGTGGACGTGCTGAACTGATCGTACATAGTTCTGATAGGAAGCATTCAGCAGTAGCTTGATCAAACTGCTCTCGACTACACGATAAAGGATTGACTGAATCAGGACTTTCGAGTGAGGGGTTGGGTAGAGTAACTTCAGATTTTCGAGGACGACCACGACTAGAACGACGTCCTCTATCATTGGTACTCGTAATTTGTGAAACACAATTATCTAAAACAATAGATGCACGTTTTACTAAACAAAAAGGAAAATAGAAGCAATTCTGTGATAACAAGTTACGAGATAAATTCTAATAAATAAAATAATAAAAATTAACCAAATGACTTAGTGAAATTATCGTATACGGAATGGTTACCAGTGATAAGAATGTAAAGTGTGATTTTCAGGTACTTCCAATACCAACGAGTGAAACGGAAGAACGATGTATCATGATAAGTAGTTAACAACTTGTAGGAAAAATTAAAAAAATGAATACAGTTATGTCAATTCGTCCAACTTGGAGCTATTCCTCATCTCGTCTACAAACGTTGATTCTAGCTGTATTGTAAAGCATAACAACAAATTACAAACCTCGCTACAGAATGAATGAATGAACAAATGTAGTATCTTGGTTTGGAAACCCAAAGGCTTTTTCGAAACTCAATTTCCTACCCTAGTTAAATCTTATTAAACACCGGACAAACAAATAAGTGGAAATTCAGTGCATAGAAACAGATCAAATGGAAATGAACAATGTTACTACTACAAAGATAATAACAAAAGTTATATGAAATGAATTGAGTGAATGTTTTTAGTTATTTCATTCTTACATGCATTACAAATAAGGTATATCGAAAGCTTCCAGAATTAATTTGTGACAGTCAATCAGTACTTAGTATAAGTGAGTATAAGTACTAAAAACAACTAACTATTTTAGTACTAATAACAAAGATTATCAACAAAACAATAGCTGAAAACAGAACTTACAGCGACAATTTCCCTCAGGTTCAACAGTTGGACATGATTTGTTTGTTGTTAAAGCTGAATTTACAGACCCGGAGTCTCCTTTGAGTTTTTTACTTTGATGATCTAAAGGACTAAGCAACTGTTCGACTTCATCATCATAATGAACATCCACAGTAACACACAATTTACTGATCGATGACATATCTACTGATGCGGGAGATGCATAAGTAACTTCTAAGCTCGGTTCAACAGTTTTATCACAATGACTAACTTTCTCTGACAGAAATTTCGTTGAACGACGACCACGACCACGACTACTATATACACGATGAAGACGAGCAGGTCTCCCACGACGTCTAGTTACATGTACATTATTTGTGTGTCCCGTTTCCGTATGCTGATTTCCGGTCGATTTATCAGGATCCAGCTCCTCCATATTCTCAAGAGGATGATCAGTTTTCTCATCTGAATTCCCATCGCATGACGTAGGATCATCAGACTCGTCAAAAACAACAGAACGACGTTTTCTTCCAACTCGATTTGTCTTCTAGTTAGAGAACAATGAGAATAGCATTTGTTATGTGTTGAGTTACATAATTTTCGAGATCTAGAGATACAGTATCTAATAAATTAAACTCGATCAATATTTCAAGTGTTAGTCATAAGAAAATTCGTTGTTTTCTTAACGATCTGCGTAAAAATCTATTTAGATTCTGATACGTTCGTGAAGTGTGCTAATAATTTCACTATGCCGACTACAATAGAATGATTTATTTATTTTTATTTAAACACATAAACATTGGTACAAAGAAGTACCAAATACATACGCACCACATAAATTATTCGATTTATGTGAGGGATACTGCCCAGATGCCCAAACCGAAGCAGGTGCTTTACTTGGACGGCCACACCCGGAGCATTCGACCTAAAGGTCTAATCCACAAGGCAGTGGAACAATATAAGGAGACGCAGTCCCATGGTAGCCGGTGACCAACGACTGGTTCATACGACATTTGTTTCCTCAGGATTCTAGAGCCCATGTGCGCGATTGGTTTGGAATCAAGGTTTTCTAACGCCCCTAGGTGGACTCTCCTTGTCTACCAACCCGGTCAAAGTGCCGGACATTCACTTTTCGTCCTCTCAATTTCGTAAACAACAGTAACTTCGCGAGAAGGCAGTGATTACAACTTCCCTGTCTCGGCTGTATGCGCGTGACCGTGTGATAGCATTTCGAGAGGGAGAGTTAACTCTTTTCATACTTGGCCGTAGCAGGGCATTTGAGGGTCTGTTATAATCTGGATGGTTTATATTGTGATTCGTGGAACCATTGGAAGATTCTCAGGCCAATTTGAGGATGCATCAACGAGAAGCAAACATGTGATCCAATCGGTTGCTCCTTCCGTGTTTGTTGACTCTGAACCATGGATCTTCAAGTAATGGCCATAAAACTGGCGGCGCTCGACTGTTGAGGTTTGCTGCTTGTTAACACAACACAGCCGTCCACAAAATATGCGATTTTCAGATCCATAAACGGCCAATAGGAAATACCGGCAATCAACTTCACATGTTTTATACCTAACTTGGCATTGTGAAGTTGTTGTATATTTGTTGTTACTTTTCTGTCTTGACAAATAACGTTCACCGACTAACTTGACTTCGAAAGTCAAGTATTCCTTAAACAATTGATGTGGCTAGTAGCTTAAAACATAAGCTTTTACGTGGTTCTTAATGTTATTATTTCACACTCCCCAATTACAAAGACTTGAAGTATGATCAACGAATATTCAAATAATAAACCATCAATCAAAATCAATTTGACTTGAACAGTATTTGCACGAAATCTTTTATGATTCTAAATAAATTATAGTGGGTTAACAACTTAAAAATATACATTAAAAAGTACACATTGAATCAAAATAGACGATCAACTGGTTAATTAATGCATTTAAAATCACAATTTCATTGCATAAGAGCTGTGTTTTCTGCACAGTTGTTGACTGAATTTGTAAAATATTCCATGAATACCTTACTCATAATTTATCTCCGCACATAACATTTTAATCAGAATAATGTACCTACCAAGGGTATGAGTTAAAAATCGCCTTACATAAATTAATTTCGCAAAGAAATTCTATTTACATACTAGTAAGTAATCTGACAACGATACAAGATAGGTTATTTTCTTGAAATCATCCAGGTGCTAAGTCAGTACAAACTATAACACTTACAGTAAATGAGAATGATATCAATATAAAGTATTTACACTTGAGTTGATATGATAGTACAACCTGTTATTTGATTAAGTAAAGGCTTCACATCCATAAGACCATGATCTGTACATCAATAACAGCAGTCGAATATTAACAGCAAAGTTGCAAGTCTAGACTTGAATTAGGAAAATGTTATGGTATATTCAACCTAAATATCATCACGTATAACGTAAAAGGAACCAGAATACAAACTCTTACTGGATTATAAAGTTCCCAGAATTTATTTTTTAATTTAATAGATTAACACTTGCAGGCTATATACTTCACAAACTGTTACTCTTCAGATATTAACAAACCCGTATCATTAACAAATCATTCCCTAACCCAATACATACCGAGTAAAAAGAAAACTCCAATAACTTTCACAAACAGTCCAAGATTAATAAGAGAAAAGATTTCACTAGATGAACGGTGAAATATTAATACTAATAATGAATTTTGGTTATTCAGATACGAAGATTAAATAAACCTGTAATCATAAATGTTATTACCTTTTGGAGTGAAGTACTTTCATTAGTACCCGGATAATCTTCGTTTGTGTATACTAATGTAGTAGATAATTCAAATGCTTCATTGTTCGACTGTAAAAGCCCTGTAGGATTATCTGCTCCTGACAATAACGCCTCGGCTGAACGAAGACAAAATCCACACAATATAAGACTACCACCTAACACTTCAAGACGAGCAGATGTAACACTGGATAAAGAGGAATAATTGCTCAGAAACCCAGTAAACGGTGAATCAATGTTATTTGGACTATTTGAATCTGAAATGTCAAGTTGTTTAGTTCGAGATCGTCGGGTACTAGTTCGTCGGGTGCTTGAAGAAAGAAGACAATCCAGGTGATAGGGGCAAGCACAACCAGAGCAAACAGAAAATGCAGACAGATTGCCGGATGCAGTTGATAGAGTCAAAACATCTGGAGGACCCCTACAATAAAAGTATTCAGACATTTTTGAAATTATAAATATATTAGTGTGGAAAATAAGGTTTTTAGGTAGTGAACAAAATAATCAATTAGAATGGCAAATTTGCCAACAACAAAAAAATTATAGAGTAGAGACAGAAATCAGGGTAGCTAGCTTAGAATTCAGTAACTGACAGCTAATTTAAAAGTATCGGCAAACGGAATAACAACTAGACAAAAAGTGTCATGTATCACCGATCCAGATCTCAAAGTTAAAAAGAAGATGCTCGAAAAAACCTATTACGTCTAAAATGAAACTTTCATACAGTCCAGAAGAAAATAAAAGCGAGAAAGTATATTGTCAAAGTTGAATATTCAAAAAAAGTTGGTTACAAGCATTCCGACTATCTTTACAAACCACAAATTCAAAGAGAAACACGTCACTTCATACTTATGAATTTCATTACTAATATCAGAAGAAAATTTCGACCGTTTTATTCTGGGATAAATTCTAGGTATCTTGATTAATTATCATAAATAGACAATGTAACATGATGGACTGATTACATAAGGAAGTATTAACAAACTCATAATAATGAATGTAAAATTCGTAAAATTCAACTAATATAACAGTTAAATATGTATTTAAGAAATAGTAACTCATAATTAGTAAATAATTAAATGACAAATCAATAAGACATTTTGTAGATATTTTTCATTTTTATACGACAAGAAGTCCAAATACTTGATTTGGTTTGGGCACCCGAGCAGTATTACAGTCCTCATACTAATCGAATGATGCACTGTGACGCATTTATATATGATACCTCCTTATATCAATATTTATATGTTTAAATAAATAATCAAAAAATTAAACAGCTTTCTATATTCACTTCACATAGTGAATTTAATTCAGTCTACACAAAAACATTGAATAAAACTTTTGATTTCCGGTCATTTGTCATGTGTAGAACATAATATAGTTGTAAAACATTCCGCTATAATTTTCTTCCCATACACATTTACTTTAAATTTCTACTAATAGTGATAACAACAATACTATTACCGTATTCAAAAAATTCTACAAATAAAGCCAGTATAGCTTAAGCAGGACTTTTTTTTCATTAGAGTAGTTAAGTTGTCTATCATCGATGAACAAGAAGGATCTGATACAAATGTACAGGTCCAGATTGGCAAAGCAAGGGCAGAATCTCTACATTTAAGGAACATATAGAACTCAAAACAACCGTCAGTCAATATCAAAGTCAGAATCTTCAATACAAACGTCCAGATAGATGTATTCTACGGAGCTAAAACGCGGAGAACTACCATAATTATCTGTCAGCGAGACATAGATTGGATTAAATCATGCTCAATACACGCTGATCGGCTGATTCTTATTCAATCCGCGCAAGTCGATACTCGGATAATACTCTAGAAATCTCATGTAAAAACTATAAATATACTAACGTTTTTCTTATTGTGCTTCTTACTTCTATCTAACCTTGTTATTGGGAATATAATCTCTTCCCTGTTCAACCGTGTTCTGATTTGGGGACTTGTCGAGTGAATTGTTGTTCGAGAATACTAAGCAATAGGAATAGGTGGGTTGTAATAAGAGAGAATTATAACACCATCATAAAGATATAGGTATTTATAAACGGTTATTTAGGCTAGGAACTCCATATCCATTAGTTAGATACCATTGGCAGCAACCTACTATAGCAGGAAACAAACCAGCTTCCATTTGAACTCAAAATTAGGAAAAGACGTTGGAGGTGGATAGGACATACATTGCTGAAAGCATCAGACTGCATCACAAACCAAGCCCTAACTTACAATCCCCAAGGGAATAAGAAAACCAAGGAACACATTGAGCCAGGAATTGGAAGCAGACATGAAAAGAATGAATAGCAACTGGAAAAGACTGGAAAGGATTGCTCAGGACAGAGTTCGATGGGGAATCATGGTAGGTGGCTTACGCTTCACTACGAGGAGTAACAGACATAAGTAGGTAGTTCAAGTCCCTAAAATAAAACCAGAATAATGTAACAAAACCAATTAAATTTAGTAATAGTAATAATAATAACACATACCGACATGAAGTACATTTTAGAGCAGGTAAAGGATGTTGCGAGACATAATTAGCAATCGCAGACGACACACCTCTACCACCTAAGGTAGCACGATGCGCTCCACGTTCAAGAGCACGTGCTAATAAATGTAACTGTGCTGTAGAACTAGCCTGTTCAACATTAACACACCATCTTTGCCAACCAGTAGTTCTAAATGATTGGGTCATATTAGAATTAGCTGTTATATTTGAATCATGTACTTCAGATAGTACAGTATTTTCTGAAAATATATTTTCTAAATCAGTTGATTGTTTGTTGATTGACATATTAATAGGTTCACTACGCAAAGTCCTTTCATCGTTCGCTGGAAAAGTTGCAGAGAAAAAACAAGAAATGGTCTTATATAGTTAACGACTTTATTGACAACTGTTTGACGGATGTGACAGTTGTACGCAAACGGTGAATAGAATCGAAAAACGTAATTCACAATAAGTAGAAACTTGGTGATTTTCAAATACCGTACGATATATATTTATTTTTAGAATACATTATCTTATATAACATAGGAAATCACGATGACTTGCAAAATTCTATTTTATTCGGATGAACAGATACATGTTAGATAATGAATCATATATAAAATTAAAACTGTTGAGTAGCTCACAACGTTCAGTGAGAAAAGGATAATGTAATGTCCTTTGTTTATATGTGTACGAAAATCCATAACGTACGTAATTCATGTGACAATAATTCTTTGTTCTATCCTACATGTGATATTACTTGTTCCAATTCTTTCACTCATGTGTATCACATTTAAGCTTCAAATGAGATTATTGTTACTCGTTTTTGCCTATAATTTTGATTTTTCAACCGTATTTCAGTTATCACATGTTTCACTAACTAACTAGTCTTTTTTCAATCAAAATGGTATCTTGGCAATTTTTTATATTCATTCCCAGTGTTTGGATGTCTATGTTTGAGTTGATTAATTTGCTAGATCATTTGTGAACAGAATCACAGTATCTATATGTCAGAAATTCTTCTTCTCTTTAATAAACAATTAATTGTGTTCTTTAAAAATTTATCCATTTGATGAATTACAGATTAAATTTTACAACTTCTATACAAACTAATGGTTGTATAACATAGAATTGGAAGTGATCAGGGTATTTTGTATATTTAAACTTGTATTTAAGTTTAAATAGTACCGTAAATACCAGTAAACAATTGTTAAAACAAAAGCCCGACTTGAAAAGCTTAGACGTTGATAAAATTTTACTATGTATTTGTATATTAATAAGCTAAAAAGAAACTATGACATAGCCTGGAAAAAAGTGTCAATTTATCCTGTTCAGTAAGGAAATAGTAGAGAATTAAAAAACTTTTCAGAAAGGAATATAAAAACACATTAAATGCGTGTATTGTATAACGTTATACGGCGATAAAACCACAAGAAATTTATTGACTAAGTAATAAATGCTAAAACAAACTATCAATATACTGTCAAAGAAAAATATATCTACGCCATAAATAAAACATTTTAAGGATAAATATGTATTTCAATGCACTAAATAGCTCACCCAGTGGTCCAGCAACTCCTTTCGGACTAACATCATGGCCCAGTGATAAAATTATTTGTGAAAGACGCTTTACATCCGGATTAATAGGACTACAAATTAGTGGAGTTTTTAGAGCCTCAGAAAGTTTCATAGAACTGTCAGTACAATCTTCAACTGATACAGAGACAGTCTCATCATTTTCCACTTCATTGGGACCCCTATAATGTTGAAAATACGAAGTTTTTAAAAGCGGCGTCAAACAAAAGAATGAATACATTCTAGGCGCAGATTACTGGCGGGCAGGTTTGATACACGGAAGGAAACAGACGGCATGAAATACAATACTGAATTTCTCTAAGAATTCGCTTCAAGAATATGATGATTAGGAGTATACTGAAATATGGATATCACACTAGGAAGACATTGGTATTCTAAATACGGTCCTATAAATGAGTAATTAAAACACCTGTAGTTTCCAAATATACATTTGATGAATACTATGTGAGTTTGAGGGAAATTTCGCTGTCACCCTTGGTTCGTCCATCTAAATATAATTACTAGCTCTATAACAAAATACGTTGTTCGAATTCAAGCAATTAGACAGGTATTCGGCAAGTGAGTTGCATTAAGAACAATTTCGATAAGCTTCCAACAAACAACTAAAAAGCCATCATATGAATTTCTTTCAAAAAAGCATTTCCACTAAATTCTAAATTACTTCTTTATTGATCCCATCAATTATTTCATGACATATCGCTTACCTTCTCAGACTAACTAGCGACATATTTTTCAGGATGAAACATAATGAACTAGTAAGTGGGGGGAAAATGGATGAACATAGAAGTGAAACTTTACCGCTAAGATTTAAACTACTTACACATATATGAGTAGTACGTATACTAATATCCAAAATATCACCAAAAATCAAGTGCTATTAATCTCGGCAATTTGAAAAAGCAATTAAGGTAAACTTACTTGTTTTGAAGAGATTCTTTAAGATCTTGTTTACATAGTTCGGTTTCAGTGTTTGATGAATTTTCCGTGAGACTACCGCTTTTATTGAACAAAAGACGCTTAATCAAATCCAAACGACCAAGACGATATCCTATACCAACAAGAGCGATTTCCAACCACGAACACATGACTGCATGAGTTGATTTACCACCTGAATAATTGTATTTTCCCGGAGTGGTAGCAACATGTTCGAGTGATCCAGATGCAATTTGAGTACTAATTGCTGTCTAGGGGTTAAGAAACTGTGTCAAGCTGGTGTATAATTTCTTAATTTAATTAAGGAAAATGTTAATTAGATAAATGACAAATAAATGCATCAGGTTATTTCTTCCTAGTGTTTCCTAATATGGTCTTCAAACTCATTGATAGAAATTTCTTTTATTAAAATGATCAATAATCTATGCTTCAATAAGAGTTACTTTAGCTATTTATAGCCTAAGTAATCGATAACATACAAAGTGAACGCCGGAGTTGGCGAACACACAACACAAAACAGTTACGGCTTTCCCATATTCAGACTCTATATGTTAACTGTAAGTCAAAATCTATCACTAATTTTTGGAAACTATCGAAGTAAAAAACAGCGAACAACTGCGCCATTGTGATTCAAACCAAATTACGCGTTTTGTGAATGAATGCAGTGAGTAGGAAACCCTAGTATATGTTTATTACCTGGAATATCAATAACTTTGACAGGAGTTATGCTCTTAAAAATTGTTATAAAATTCCAACTAGATAATGAGATTATAATCTGTCAGTGAAAAAGCATTCAGGATGAAAATAATCTTATTGTTACTGTAAGCAGTATGGTGGTATCTGGATTTTTAACAAAGAACTTTCATACATAAACTTCTACGAACAATGTGATCACGTTAAATTTTGAAAAATGTGGAAAATATTTATAAACGAAGTTAGTAACCACAAAGAGTCCAAAAAAATATTTAGTCTTAGAGTGAATTCCCCAATGTAGACATTGCGAAACTAGTTCATCGACTGGTTGGTTAAATACGACAAAGGGTACATAATAGAACAATTTATAAATACAAAACTGACCTTGTCAACTACTGTTGAACAGTTATCGTTCGTTGCACAAATTATTTCTGGTGGACACATGGTAAGTACTTTAATAAGTAAAGGCCGCAACTGACCAATCGTTTTACGAAGACGAGACTCACGGATACCGCGAGGGTTTAATGAAGCTTCTAGACAATCAATAGTCCATTTGGCTTGTTCAACCATTAAATCAAGTTCATCATTTGTAAAAGACCAATTTTTGTTATCGTCAGAAACATCTGTCTTATATTTCGATTCATTATCATCACTAGAATTGTTATTGACGTTATTATAACACTCTTCAAATTTTACAGGGGTATCAGAACAATCACGTATGGAAGAAGATGTAACAACTTCTGTGTTTGAATCAGAAACGATAGTATGATTATTTGAATCAAGCATCTTTTTTTGGTACAATTCCCTGTACTTATCGGGTATGAGAATCGACCAGACAGTTGTGGACAGAGATGACTTCCCTGGATAACATCGTAGCTTAGCTAATTGTTTAACTGCAGGACAGGCATTATGTAAAGAAGAGTCATGGACACTGACACGTTCCTACAGTAAAAAAGTAATGGAGAAAAAAATTAAATTGAATTTTTTTTATACACAAGAACACAAAAATTTAGAAATACTTAGAATGAAACTTTTTTATTTAGAAGTTCAATTTGAATCTTTTCAGTTCTAGAAGGATCTTATGGCCTGATCAATATCTATGGCTAACATGAGTTAATTACATAGGCATGTTTAAAGTATGATAAATGAGAGCATTTAGTTAAACTTACCGGTTTAACAAGAGTTCGCAGTTGTTCAACTGATAAACCTCCTGATAATGATGATGACGATGATGATGATGATAAAGACTGATGTGGTAGATAAGCGGCAACACGAAATGTTATTTCTTCTCTATCCAATAATTCACTATCCTTAATAGAATTGATTATTTCCCGTAAATGTCTACCAGCGTCCTCAGAGCTACTAAGACCCATTTGTTTAGCAAGTTCAGGATACGTATATACAACTTGACGATTTCGAATTGTAACATGAGTATAATAAGGATTTTTATCAACACATAGGCAATCCTCAATCAGTATGCATGGTACAGACATTACTAGCCAATATTGTCTGTAATGTAAAATAAATTCATTGAATATAAGCACAAATATGTACAATAAAGTAAGCATATAAAATTTAGAAATTTGCTAACTTTTTAGAATGAAATAATTATGAAAAACGAAGATCATTTCAACGATTCAAAATGGTTAGAATGTAATGAAATTTTTTTTAGAAAAACATAAATAAAGATATGTATAATTACTACTACTCAAATACTCCTATAACAACTCATTGGTTTCAATCAGTAAAGTTTTGATTTAGTAATAGGTTTCATTATTAAGGTCACTTTATTGAATTTAACTTTAGTAACTGTTTTATTTAAGTGTGAGTGGCAATGGTATGTGACAATTTAATAGTCAAGTATTATAATTTAACTAGTACAAAGGAAAAAAATAACAGTTGATCGACTGGTATAGCTATATAAATGTAGGCACCAATAATTGATAACTGGTGTTTGGTTAAATGGTTTGAGGAGAACAGTTATATTCGAAGATGGTTTTTTTTACATACTGATATAAATGCCTCCTAATTTTCAATAGTACTTCAGCTGATATTAAACTCTTACGAAAACTAACATCAAACTGATACTTGATTGGATTTCCCATCTCGCAGCCCGTGGTCATTTAAAGGAAATATTTAAACAGATATCTTTTGGTTTATATCTGCATCTTCCAGAGTACGGGATCTTGCACGTTGTCTGTTTTCTATATAGTCTGAAGTGATATGTTCAACAAAGCCAGTTATTGGTTTTTATATGATCCAGTATTCGTTAGTAAGTAGTAACTGAATTTTGTGAGCCTGTCAGTCTGGAGAAGCCACCTAAATCTCGCGTATACCGATGGCAAGTCAATAATTATCGTGTACTAGGCTATGTACCATGCATCGTATGGAGACTAAAAAATTTGCTAACCAAAGTAGAATACGAAATTATAATCCCCAGGTAAAATGTCGTGTCCCATTTAATGAGTAATATATCCAAACAACCGAGTAAATGAATCTAAAGGTAGTTTTGCTGACTATACATTATCCCTAAATTTCGAGACAGAAAACTTCATACAACACCATGTAAAGACTTGATGTGTATCCGTCTATCGAAATGTATCAACATAGAATACCAACTTGCACTTTATATTTATTTAACTTCATGAGCGATTCATAACCTACAAATTATTGCAATAATTTGACAGACACAAAAAACTAATTTATTTTTATAAATAGAAGTAAAAAGTGATTGTTCGAAAAATCGGATTATTTTTTGTTAAAAGCTCTGAATCCGATTTCGAAGATTGTCAATCCCTTAGAGTTCGTTTCTAGTTTATAGATAAACATGACAAAATCAGTAACTTACCGATAAAATCTGTCTTGACCAAGAGGTATCATTGAGCAACCACGCGAAACCTGAGTAATAGAGTCTAATAACTTTTGTTCCTCTAATAATGAATCTGTCAATTTTTCATATATATTAGCTGTGGATGAGGAAGAGATACAAGAAGTTGTTGTTCCAGTATCTGAATTGGGTCGATGTTCCTTTCGATTGATTAACGTATAATCCTCACTGCAGAAAAATTATCAAAAATATATAAAGATACTTCAGTGTGTTGTTCACAGAAATCAAACGTGAAACTTAAAAATTCGTCAAATCAATAAATTCAATGACATGTCCTTCAAGATTATGAGTGTGCATTTTCTTAGGTTATTCATAACCAATCCACTAACCCGCTTGTATGTCGTGTAAAAACAGTAAGCACAAAAATAACTTGAAGTTAACTAAGGTTAGATAAAAAAACACATGGTGTGAAATTCGTTGTAATAATCCACAGAATAGAACACATACAATCATAAGTTATGTATAACTTCAAATCAAAAGAATTACTAATTAAAGCTAGTAAGTATTTAAAATCAAGGAATTGAGATATTTTGTTACTAAATGACTCATGAAAATTATTTACTCTGACAAAAATTTCTCCAACGGAGCGACTGTCGAATCTAGTTGCGTATTTTTGCGGCTAAGTGTACGACCAGAACCCACTGGACGACCTCTTCCTCTTCCCAAGCGTCCTTTAAGACCAACAGGAGCGAAATGAACACGGCCATCATTTGTGGAGTTCATTTTCTTCATATGTGTCAAAACATCTTGTTCTTCCTCAATTCCAGTACCACAGCTAATCAATACAGCTCTATCAGCTTGTATAGTGCGCAACTGATTGCGTAACAAACGCACACGTTCGTAATTATCTTCCATACGTTCTCGAATCTGAGGTTGAAGCAAGAGCTCATCCATCAAAGCAGTAAGCAAGATCAACTTTTCATGTGGAGTTAGTTCATAAACCGACACTAGAATGAAAAATAGTTTAAGATCAAAATTTAGACATCTATGTAAGAGATATAAAACAAAGAAATTAAAAAAACAGCGAATAAAGCTTGAATGGAAGTAGAATTAATGGACAATGAAAAATGAAGTTGTAGAACAGATTCTACTTGCTGACAGATCATACTGATCAAGAGACGTATGATCAAAGAGACAAATATTGGGTTAATACTGAATACGAAATTAAGCAAACAGTAGTAATTGCTGCAAACTATCAACAATGACTTCAAGTTGTACTCTATAATTACCTAAGAATGCAGATAAGTAGTAAACTTCATCTGACAATAATATTCTTTGAGTTTTACTTTACACCTTTAGTTTAATCACAACAAAGAAAAACAATAACTAGGAATTTTTTTAATTAGTTAGAAAGACAAATGTGTCCAAATATGAATTCACAAAAGTGAACTAAAAATATTTTATGTCGCTCTTCCAAAAGTGTTATTTTTAGACTGTTTGAAATGACGTAACTATTGTAGAACATAACAACAAATTTACAAATAGGTGAGTCGACATTATATTAAGCCAATATGACTAATATGAGGTTCATTGAGCACTTCGTTAATTTATTATAAAGTCTATCTGTTTAAGTAAACATTTTCAAATATTTGAATTTACGCTTAAAAGCGATTAATAACGTGTGAATTGATTAAATGATTATTTCAAACAACTAATAGTATCAACTGTTCGTCGATGATCTTCATACACATATACACACATTCAGAACAGATTTTACGATAAATTAGGGGAAAGTAATCAAAGAAATGCTGTGAATCCCTGAGAATCCTAGTTAGAACATTGACTATTTGGGCTGTATAAGCGAAGTATCTAATGAGACACTTGCGAGAATAAACTTAATTTACTCGGATACTAATTAAGTGAGAACTTGAAGCTATTTAGCACCAAATAAAAAGACCGACATACGATACAAAAAACCACATTGCACAGTAAATCCAAGTGAGACCAATTAAAAGAGATGCGGAATGATGCGACGTATTACCTCCTATTCCGCGTTGCAAACTATCTACATTATGTGACAATGAACTAGCCTACTTAAAGTAAAGCAGACCCGGTCAGATATATTTAAACTCGTAGCATAAATTTTATACCCGAATCGTTATTTCGATAGTCAGCTGCCGATGGCATGAGTTAAACTGTTCCTTTTGCACTTAATGGAACATTAAACCTAAGAATTGTAATATAATTATATTAGCCGAGAAAATATCCACTTCCATATTACTTTCCAAGGACTGCACATATCTATACTATAATCATTTACAAAAAATCAACTTATGAAAATTGACTGTAGAAGAAACGTTACGCAAATGTTTTCAAGAATGGTACAACTAAAAGTTATGAGTATATATAATTTAGTATTAGTAACTAGAGACAATAATCATGGAAACAAACATTATCCACCTTTTTTAAGTTTTTCAACTAAAGCTGAATTGTTTCTGGCCAGCATAACGGAAGGGTCATCCAGAAGTCGAGTACCTCCCCAAATCTGACCACGCCAGCCCCCACCTTTTGCAGCTGCACTAGTTATGTGTAACCAAAGTGCTTCAGAAAGACCAGCACGATCCAACGGTGGTAAAGATGTAGCCCCAGCAATGACTGCCGTTGTTGCAGCACGTGTAACAGAACTTCGGTTAATTGCATTTGGAAATACTGAAGATGAAATCCCTGATGAATCCTCTTTTACAACAGTCCCACCTGTTGTGTTCAACGCAACAGAAGCAGCCACAGCAGCTTTACCGGCAGCAATGGTGGCTGCTTGGGTTGGTATACCAATAAGTTCACATAAACGAGTTGAAGCTCCAGCATCCCGTAGCACACGGAAGACAGCACTGTCTTCAGGACCGACTGCATCCTCATCATAAAGTGAATTATTATCGATTCCAATTCCAGAAACATGGGAGACTTGTGTATTCACAGAAAAACCAGCTTCAGCGGCAGCAACAGCCGACGCTGCAGCAATTGTTGCTGCCGAAGCATTTGGAGTTGGTTGGCGAGAATTGGCGTCCAGCTGGATAATAAAAGCAGTTAAAATCTCATTTGCGTGAGATTAGTCATCTAAATGCAAACTTTAAAGGTTTAAAATCCATCAAAAACTATTACACTCTATAATCTTACCATGATCAATATCCATTCGCTTTTTATTTAGCTACTATAGCATTTTTAAGGTTATAAGCAACTATAAACTAGTGTGCATGTTTACAAACTGACCAGTGAATGAAATATTTAAGAATTAAAGAGACGAATATAAAGTTATTCCACTAAAAATCAAGAAACGTAGACTATTTCCAGGCTAAATTTGTCAATCTCCTGGTTGGTACGAGACATTGAGATCAAGGTACTACCCTTTATTAAATGCAAACAAGAATAATTGGAGTTTGGTTTATCAAACTATCAGCAAATGTACAGCAGCTTTAGTTACTCGGACACATTTTAAGTATAACTCAGTGACGTACATGCCTTCATCAATACACGTTTCCTAATTCTTGAAATGCAGGAGATGAGGAAACCATCAGAAAACTTGATACCGTAAAACAATAAATCTTTGTTCTAAGTTACCATCCTAGCTTAAAAGCACTCGAAATTATGTGACTTGAAGATGACTTACAGCCAAATATGACTCAAAAACGAAACTCATAAGAATAGTATTGTAACCTTACTCCATTTCTCGATAAACAGTATGTTGAAGAATAATAAATTCTTGATATAATAAATAGTATAACGTTATTTTATTTTATTAAGTCATATTACTTTGTAAAGTTATAAGTAATAGGAAATAAACAAGCGTTAGTAATATGGATTAAGAGTGAAAAAACTTACTTCTAACCTACGTATAGTAGACAGCATACTTATAAAAAAATCCGCTAAAGGACCACACGGATCCGATTCCAAAAGGCTACTTTCCAAAGTAGCTAATGTAAGTGAAGGAGTAGAACGGGATAAATTCGTACCGATCACTTCTGTACATTTACCTATTTGTGGGATAACAAGTCCGATGTGTGGACCAAATACATGAAGAAACTCTAGTAACTGTAGAGCTGAGCCAATATCATCCGGAGGAAGTGAAGAAGGAAACTAAAATGATAACAGTGCGATAAGAATATATGAAAACAGTGGCAAGAGAAGCAAGTTCTGTTTACAAACAAAATGCGAAATATTAGTGAAATAGGTAAATATCAATTCCACCTGATTGAAATAAGTATAATACTTCCAAAAAGTACGAATAGTTTACCTTAGCGAATTCTGGTAATGGCACTAAATCCGATAATTCCAAATCATCACGACGACGCACCATACTCCACTCCTTTTCTAATTCAGTTTTTTCAACTTTTAAAGAACGTGAAATATCAAAAACTGGTTGCGGTAATGACTGATCTAAGAGAAATGTAATATAAATATGAACATATTAGTAAATATATGCATAAAATCTTAACACTTTCCTTATCGAAAAGCGGATATGTTGACTGCTATTAAGTCAGTGGCTTAATGGTTAACGTAATCGATTTTCAATTACAATCCCCTATTAACTCGATTTGGGCAGCCAAGCGGTAGTAGTGTAAAGAACAATAACTCAGATGGAAACAACCGATTTACTTTCTAATACAAAATCACAGATCGTCTTCATAAAATACAAGAACCAAACACTAAATACTTCATTTGCGAATTATCCATCAACTGCCCTTCACATTTTGTATGGTTCTTGCACTTCACAGTTCCCTTCTATTTCCCTTTCTGTTCACAATTACTCGATATTCTTAGCCCTCGGTTGCCAGGTATTCCACTTCTGACTGATGTTACATACTACTGACGTCAATCGACATAAGTAGCATACGCCACAGCAGTACTATTCGCCCTCATACAAAGTGTAGCTTAAACGCCAATACATGAATACGTAGATGCCGAATGAGTTGCATTATTAAAATACTAATTAATAATGTGAATATACTTATTTCAGAAAAATGCCTACCCAACTAAGAAACTCGCAAAAATTATGTAAAGATATGTTAGTGTGATGACAAAAGAGCAATTACTTGTAGTGATTTCGGACATGCTACTCGATGTTATCTAATCTAACTAACGAAACCAATAATTCTTTGTAGCTAACTCAGAACGACATAACAACACAAGCTTCACAACCGAACTTAAATACAAAATATCTCATGAAACCAATGAATGAAGATAAGATGTTGTTTAAGGTGTCACCACAATAATGGCAATATGCTTAGTTACATAACTAGTAACTACTGGAAAATAACTGATAGCACTGATTATCCTTTCCATTTTGTGAAAATACTAGAATGAAATGAAAACAAACTTTATTGAATGCAAAGAACAAAAAGTTTATAAAGTCAATATATAACTGTTCATCGACTGAAAGCTTGAGAATGAGACATATATTATAAATTTGGATATGGATTAGTATTGGTAAACATCACTAAATGCTTTAAGTAAAACACTCACTATAGGGACCATTCATTGCATGTGTACCAGCCATTAGTGTATGTGTCTGTTGATAAAGAACTTTTTGCGACTGAAAACCGAGGGGTTCAAAATACTGTACACGGGTTGTTCCTCCTGATGAAGCCATGTTATGATTAATGGCAATGGAACATGGAACGTTTGGAGAAGGTTTCGTTTGACCTCGACTGGTCCATTCATCCGTATAAGTATCGATAACTTTAAAACCTTGGCATATAGGGCGACTGGATTCTTTCGTTAGATTGCTCACAGTCCGAATTATTGAGGCTACAAGAAAAGACAAATACCATGTCAATGCTTCGAGAGCTAATAAGAAAAGTGTATTGATAGTTGAGAATACAGTTTAAATTTCATGTGATAAGAAAGCATCATTTGAATTATTTAAAATCTCAACGAAAAAGAGTGGATAGAAAAATGTCATAATAGAAACTTTTGACTTCGTACATTTGTCAACAAAATAAGATATTCGCTTTTACTGTTGTATCACATTTTTGCTATGATGCACAAAAATCATAGATTTTACAAAACAAAAGGGTATCTGCTTCAACTGATAGTGACAAAAGTAAAAAGAAAAATCACCAATAAACAATTCACTGACACAGATTTTAAAACGAGAAATACATTGCAATTCATATTGTGGAGCGACACATAATTCATGTCTTGAGTTCTGAAGATGCATTTATATTTAAATATTTCATTACCTTTGGATTGTATAAGATCATAGATAAACGGAACCCATAACTTACAACAAAAATACTCAGAATATTTGTCTCCTTTGAATAAGTCGCGTGTCTTTTTAGAATTCATATAGTATGATTAAAACATTGTAACTATTCAATAATATTCTCAACATAATCAACTATTTGGTTCTTTTCGTTAGACTGGCTTAGAAATAATAGTGAGTTATTAAGCAGTTTCCCACAAAAATCAGAGATGATTTGTCTATCACAAAGCACGTAATATGACAAATTCAATAGAAACATTTTGCAGCTAACGAATTTAAATCACCTGTACTACAAGGTTAAAAAAATATGAGTAGTGTGGAACAGAAAAAAGATTATTTAAACAAGGAATAACTGAAGTATGTTTTATGAAATTGCTGTGAAAAGTCCAATAGTCCGGATATACACTTAATGAAATCCTAGAAGATTCAAGGAAATATCTAGAACAATAACATTTGAGCACGTCTGATGAATAACAGACGGAATTCAGTACAAAAAAGGATTTACTTAAAGCTATTTATCTGTCCTCTAACAGTTATATCGCCAAAGATACTCTAAATTGTATGCAAAATTAGACATCGAAGTATCTAATGGTCATTATGTTTACATGAACCTTAAACTCTGTGCTGACCAGAAATTAAATGAAAAGTAATATAAATATTTATAAGCCCGGAACTTAATAGTACCAATGATTTGAGAAAAGTAAACGCGAAAATGACTAAAGGATTATAATCTCTTTTCTGAACAACCATATTACAGATACAAAACTGGATCACAAACAACCCTGAATGTTAATTAACCTTCTAAAATTAATTCATCGGTATCCTAAATATTGAGTGAATAAGTTGATTTGTAATTATTGCGATAACAAAAGCTGGTTTGAAAAATATTCTTTAAGATACTCTTTCGGCTAATCGGCCAAATAGAATCATCATGAAAAGTAACCAGTAAGCCAACTATATACTATTAACGCAGTACATAAAAAAAAACTACCTTAAAACTCACATGGAGGAGCAGGCGTCAGTTCAGACCAACAAGGTTCTGGTGGCAGAAAAAGTTTAGCCCATGTCACAGGTCCATACGGATGTAACTTATAACGTTGCATAATCGAAACCTAAGTATTCAAAAGTAGTATTGTGAAACAAATATAATTACATAATCACCAGTTAATCTGTTTCGATAAAAGCGATATAGCCATACCATTTAAAACTGAGAACTAAGGAGCTACTAGAACTACATGATTCGAAGTTTTAAAGTAAACGAATAATACTGCTCGCACCACTATTATAGGACAATAAAAATATTTGAAAATAGGCTTGTATATGCTTATTTATGGTGCATCAAGAGAAGTATTCTTGTCTATTCTAAAGTGGACTTTATCTATCCTAAACAGTTCCAAACAGCTCATTCAGTTCCCTAACCATTATTATTATTATTATTATTATTATTATTATTATTATTATTATTATTATTATTATTATTATTATTTGAACATAAATACTGGTACAAGGGGGCACCAGAAACATATGCGCCACACAAATCTCATTTGATTTGTGTAAGGGCTGGGATACTGACCAAGTGACCAAACCTAAAGGTCTGATCCACAAGGCACTGGAACAATATAAGGAAATGCAGTCCCATAGTAGCTGGTGACCAACGAATGGTTCATATGACATTTGTCTCCTCAGGATTCTGAAGCCTATGTGCACCATTGGTTTGGAATCAGGGTTTTACAACTACCCTAGGTGGACTCTCCGTGTCAAATAATCCGGTTAAAGCGCCGGACATCCGTTTTTCGTCCTCTCAATTCCGTAAACAACACCCCCGCCACGGGAAGGCAGTGAGTAGAACTTCCCTGGCAGAGGCTATATACGTGTGGCCATATGAGAGCATTTCGAGAGGGAGAGCGGACTCTCCTCACTCTCGACCGTACCGGGGCATTTGAGGGCACCCTAACCATAAGCTCACTACCATCTCTAAAAAGATCTGAGAGTATGTCATTTGCACCTAGTAACTAGTGGCATTCCATAAGTTATAGTTTCTTACAGACCTTACTGTATGAAGGGAGTAAGACTTCCCTGTCAGATGTTAAAAACGAATGGTTGTATGGGAAGATTTCGAGAAAGAAACCTGACCCCCCCGATCCTTCGTGCCAGTAAATCTAGAGGCCTAATAACTAACATTGATTATTAGGTTATAAGTAATTTTATATCACATGAAACAATCAGTTGTATTGCCATCGTGATAATTAAATGAAGTAGTAGACTCACGTTTTTTTGGAAAAAATAAGTAACAGGATTAGCTTGATAGAGGCTCACAATGATTTTTACAAAGCACTAGTGAGTGAGCAGCCCGATACGGTCAGTTCCTAGTTTGTACAAGGTGGAAGTGACTGACCAGTTAAGTCTCGAAACGCAACTGACGATTTCAACAAACTTTTAGTAATTTCCTTTTATTAGATCCTGTGAATGTAGATATTTCTTCTAGCATAAAGAATTTGCTATCATAAGTGTGTATCATACAAATTGGAAATGTTAAAATGAAAATGGTAAATTCATGTCAGCTACCAAGAACCGTAACAGTAGTACTCAAGACTATATAAGGCTCACAAACATGGATTATATTTTTTGTACATCACAAGATTAATACATGATTAAATGTGATACTATCGCTCATTAACAAACAGAAACTTTAACTCAATTGTGAACTTAGAAACACTGAATTTACCATATTTCACCCATTATATAACAGTTCCAAACACGTTTAAAGGTGTGAAAACTTGTCTTGTAAAACACGAAACGGAATAAATGGCCGTGTTTATAATCTATGAACGACCTTCACAGGACACTAAAGTGGTTTGAAGAATTCCGAAAGCTAGGGCTATGAAATAGTACGAAACAAGATTTAGGGCTAAAGTTAGGAGTAAGGGTTGGGAATCGGAGTAAGTTTTCATCAAGAACTGATATCACCCAGTGTCAGAATGCTAGTTAACTATATCGGTACATGAATTTCGCGCGAAAATCTAACGGCCGCTTTGTGGTGGTTGATTCGTTCATAAATTATAGTTCTCCAAACAAATAAATAGGATAGTATATGGATTCGGAGACCAAAAATAACAGTAAATAAAACAGAGCTTTTAAAGTCTGAATCGTTCAGTTAGATAGTAAACGTTGTTGCAAGACATAAGCATAAAAATGTAAAACATGAAAGTATGGAAAACTTAAAGGATAACAGTGAATATCTTTATGACAACCATTCTTATTTGGTGAAATACTAATCAAAGTATTAACACAAAGTAAATTAACTGCCCCAAGATTTTAGGTGAAAGAACCGGAAGCTTCTGTATGGCCACACTCGGTGCCCCACCAGTCACCCCTCTTATTTTGTAAGAACTTTTTCGTAAAATCGCAATCTATCTATTAATCGTAACGAATTGATCCGGTACAGTCAAACAACAGTAGTGATTATATAAAAAATGAAACACGGCATCTACAAAAATAATTGGAACCACTAGCACCTGAAACTTACAACAGAATAAATCAGCAGATTTAAAAACTCACTTTGGGTGTGAAAACACCGTTTCTTAATTCGCACGTGTGACGAATGAAGAACTTAATGTGATCCCTAGCCAATACGTTACGACTGCGACGATTAATAATAGATCCAGGTACCAAAACACTTGAGGCGATACGGTTTACATTATCAGACTTTTTATGCTCCCTTACACAGTAATGAAGTTTCAATGCATCAGGAAAGGCAGGCTTCTGAACATTTGGATCCATCGATAATCCACTCTGTTAGAAAAAGCAGATATGTAAGCAGTAAAGATATATTTATTACAACTAGATGAATACAATTATTCACGACTAAGCGTGCATTACCATAGAAAATGCAAGAGACAAAATGATGAAAATTATTACTAAATATAGTCTTTTCAGTTGAAATTCAAAGGTTGCGGAATTACGAGTTTTTCTTAAATATAAGAATTAATATCAGAGTAGAATATCATATTTTCCATACGGATTAGTGTCATTAGATAAGATTAGTAATATCAATAAAGTAAGGGGTATAAAAGGACACAGGACTTCTGTTGATCATATGCTATTCACCCACCATGGAGATTTATCTAGTGTAACAATCTTTTACTTATAAGCTGACCTGATAAAATGATAGTACTTTTCCGTCATATTAGCAGTTAAATGATGTCCCTTTATCTCAACGGATCATTGACATTCTTCTAAAGTTTTGTCATTTTTAAGGTATTTATAAACTGTTATCATTATTTTAGTGCATACCCATTTGTGAAGGACTAAGTAGAATTCCTGTTCTAACAGTATTATTTCACTTGCAGAAACTCGTCTAGTTGGGCCATCAACTTACCTTATTTAGTTTACTTTAACCAACCTGAATCTATGTTGTATATTCCGTGGATTTCCTCGAAGAAATAGTCACTATTAAAGGTATGTTTTCATCACCTTAAATATATTCATATCTATTGCACTGTATTATATTTGAAATGTGTCATAGTTAAATTCAACCTTAATTTGGTATATTTGAGTCTAATGACCTTTGACTGCCAATTTTACTTGACTTCGATATCAAGGAATGTATTTTCTAACACTCAAAAAAGTTTGAGTTAGTACCAAAATGTGAACTTACTTAACTGATGACCACATCTACCTTATGGTCTAAACATCAGCAAGAAGAGAATGATTTAGAGCCACAACTAATTAGTCAAAAGTTTAATATCTAAATGGCTGTCACGTATATTACAAAAAAACTTCACCATTTACACAGACAATAAAAATTCTAAGCTGGACCGGAAACGATACTCAGTCGCGATATTTCGATCTTGAATTTAAGCATTCTTCAGTCTTACGTGAAAAATTGGGCTTTAAGAAAGTAAGGAAATATTAAGAACTGTACAACTTAATAACCCACAGAAAGAATGTGAAACTATGAAACGTATGGGCAAACGTTTGCAAAGCAGACTAAATACCAATTATAGTCAGCTTCCATTTCACTATGAAAGTATCGAATACGTAAAGACCATGAAGTTATCCCTTTTGAAAAGATTACTTACATGCTCAAACTGGCTTTTTCTCTGTGACACGACCACACGATCAATAATACCAAGAGACCGAACACTAAAAAAATTAAAATATCACATTTACTAGCTTCAAATATGATTAATTTTGTACAGAAGATAGACATTCATGTATATAATACTATACTTGATGAGCCTGGCGGACAAATGAAGTGAAAATCGAAAGGATTCCGAACGCGAAATGGCATAATATATGACAAAATCCTGTATAATAACTAATCTTGGGCTGAAATAATTAACGTAGCACATCAAGTGAAAGTTAATGAACGAGGAGCCTAGGACTCTAAAACCGAAAACTGGTTAATATCGGTGTTATGTTATTGTAGGCCATGTATTTAGCTTTTAACAAGTTCAACCGATCTGCAGTAAAACCTGAGTGGAACTATGACATAAACCACAAAATTCTAATGTATTAATTGAGAAAACTTGTCAATAGAACACGAATAAGGATCCAGTCCTTTTGATGTTGGATCTGCAACGGATGGTCTAAGTATTTCAATATTTATACTATGTATATGAGAGAATGAAACACTATTGAAGTCGTTTTCTTGAATTACAAATCTCTAGCATCTAAGGAACATCTTGATGTGTGTTATATTGGGCATGGGGTCAAACATGATTATGGAGACGTTCGGTCTACCTTTAAAGTTTACGAATCATTTCTGCTACATCCAAAAATCCTAAGAAAAATATTGGACATATTACGAAGTATCCAGAGACACCATAAAACTTACTTTGAATCTGCAGTCTGAAATTCAATCTCTTCACCAACGAAAAATCGACTACTTGCAAATCCACATATTAGTTCAACAAGTTCTGGGAGCCTTCGTTTCCGTGCACCTCCAATAATATACAGCAATGCAGAAGCCAGAGCATTATCAAAGGCGTTCAATTGCCGATAGTCTCCACGCTCACATGCCAGTGCTTCTTTGTAAGTGGAAGGTCCTCTATTACACACTGAACAAGTCCATGTTAGACTATTTACAAGAATTGTACGTTCGAAATAGTCACTGGAAAGTTAGAAATTTTAAACATAGACTAATAAACCTAAATAGCAGTCATAATCAATGCATAAAGATCATGACCAATGTAAACAAACAGTAACCATTAACTAATATTACTACTATAAATTTGTAAATCTATATTCATCCAAACTAAATAAGGTTTACATATCAACTTATAGATGTAATAGAATATCATACCATGAGAAAACGGCGAAATTAAAAATTAGAAGTAATTCTACGAAAATCAAAAGCCAAAGCGGTAAATTCTCACAAGAACAACTAAAAAGGTGATATGTTCTCTGAGTTAGGTGGCTCAATTATGAAAATTTCATTGTCTTTCTGAGCGACTAGACTATCAAGTCCAAAGAACAAGACACTAGAAACCTCCTCCAGAGAGGTGGTTTAACAGTTAAACGGGCCCAGTTTTTATCCAACAGGTTACAGGCCCGAGCTCCGCTCCTAACTCAGTAGAGGCATCCGATTAAAATAACCAGCACTCATAGAAGGGGTTCAAAGGGAAGTACACAAACCTATACTTGGTGAGTGTCGTATAATTATTAATAAGCCACCTGTTTAAAAGCAGTCTAAAGGCATTGATGATAGGATAAATCATTACATGACACGCAATATTATGATTTAGTTTTAATGAAACTTTCACCGAGCATAAGCTCATTTACTTGAATTCGAGACATCGTATGCTGTCAATAAGATAACCAGGACTATGTGAGCGACTACAGAAAGCCGAAAACACCCAAACCAACCTATGAACAGGCTGATCAGAAAACAATCTCGGAGTTCATAGTATCCTATTAGTAAACCTGATAGTAAATTAGTACCTCTTATACACCATTCTAGGACTACTTCACTGCTTCCAAGAACTTCTAAATGACACTATCTCGACGTATATGGTAAATGTGGTGATATCTGAGCTAACAGTCCAGTAGTTCGAGAACTGCCTGATGGAGTCATAATGAGTAACAAACAGCTTTTTGTGGATGGGTTGTAAAGCATTACCTGACATTGAATTGCAAGAGGCTCGTTACAATTCACCCACACACGTTGAATTCTAAATAGTAACCGTAATCACATCCTCTGACATATGACGTAATCCATATTTAAAAGGAAAGTGAGTCGAATTGTAGTGAAATCCTTCGTGTTTAGAAACCCAATTAACCTTGGAAATACATCTGAGATACTTCAAATAAAGTCACACACGCGAAATCATACTCACTTCAGTAAAAAACAGACAAGTAAACATTTTGAACCGACAATAACCACTGTGGCACCTCACAATGAAAATGTATAGAAAAAATACTACTAACTGAGAATCAGACTTTTGGAGCATTCCAACCATCTGAATACATACACTATTATTCGTTACAACCAGAGTAGTCAAATGCTTAGTTACTTATTTCTGATTAATTGTTTCAACTGTTGTATACAAATCCTGTGAGATGCATTATAAACACTAATGGCATGACAGTAACAGTACTAATACTTTAAAACACTAGGATTTAGTTAAATAATGCAAAAGAGGCATCAACTTACTCGTAGTCACGAAAAACTTCCAATGTAGTGGGCAGGAAAAATAACTCTTCGTCTAATGAGAGATCACTTGGTGGCTGCCGTTTAACGAAAGGTTCACCATTCAAATAAGGCATGATGACATCTATTAATTCCAGAAACCGGATAGTAGCACCACTCGACAGTCAATTTTTTAAAAAATGCAAGAGCTACTGATTCCTAAAGAAAAGGATTGTAATTTACATTTGATAGTGTATGTCAGGCACGCCCATTTCAATATTGCAAGATTACAATTTGTTGCTTTTAGTGGATAATCCGAGAATTTCAAACAGTCAAAAAATTACTGTAAAAATTTGAGGTATAAAAGTATCCAAAACTAATCAACATGAAGCACACAAGCGTTATTACCAACTTTTCTTGGTGTTAACAAAATACCAAATACCCTCTAACTGCAAGTACTTAAACAAACAATAAGGAGACATTTGGACAGCATGCCATGTTGTTCAGTGGATTTTTCTATTCATTTCATCAAAACTTACTTACGAGAGGTAAAAACTAACATCAGTTACGTTTATCTAGAAGTAAAAGTCAGAAAACGCTTGATTAAATTCGGAAGCTTAATATTACAAAAATGAAGCGGCATATAAATCCCCAAAATAAACAGTTCTCTGAGTCTTCAACATTGAAACTGACCTCATCAGTTTCACTGGGCACACATAAACTGAATGTTCTGGATGGCACTCATTAGCACCAGATCACTAGTGGTTACGTCCTGCTCCGCTTTTCTTGCAACTATTAGCCAGCTGTGAAGACACTGTTTTAAAATATTAAAAGTTGCGTCACAACTAGTATGTTTACTAGTGATGTTGTGGGACCTTATGACACCACAAAGAAGGCTATGCTTAAACCTGTAGATCTAACCAACACAAGTTAAACAAATTTTCCCCAAACATCGAGCTGCAACATGGCTCAGAAACAGAAGATTTGCTACCTATGCGAGAGCTCACTGGTTAACAGACATTTGGCGAGGGCCTGTTTAGACAGCTCTTCTTGTCTAAGCTTCCCCAACAGGAATTCCTTATCTCATTTCGGAATAACATCATAGACGGACTGGCTTCCTATGCCGATCTGATTCTGGAGATCAGCGGAACCCGTGTCTCAGAGGCTTATTCTGTCAAAGTAAAATCTCACACTACAAAGAATGACGTTACGAAACTCTGTCATACTCTCACTCGTTATCTTAATATTCATCATAAACATAGACGCTCTGAAACTTCTCGAAGCGGCTCGTCATGTAAAACATCTGTCTCTAGGTTACGAGAGGTAAATAACCTTGGCTGATGTTGATACCACAATACATAAGGAAATCTTCTAGAACTTGTAAAAAAAACCTGAAGTTTATTGAGTTCCGAACCGTACAACGCGAAAGATGCTTCGGAAAACTTTCCAGCCCTTACACATAAACGGCAACTGTAGCCGGCGAGTATGGCAGTGATGTACATCACTGACGTGATTACGAAAGATCGCTACTTTGTAGACACTGGCGCAGAAGTGAGCCGTCTTCTATCATTAATAACATGAATGTGAGCTAGTTAATTAGAAATGAATATTGATGAACATTGACGTAGTTTATTCTTTTTTATGAAGTGGTTTCTTGCCAATATGTGCAAAACTTAACAGCACCATATTTGTAGACACATATCATGTGCTCACTGGTGACTAGCTACAAAAAATAATTCTCTGAATCCTAGAGAATCTGTAACTAGTAGAGCTATTCGTGCCGGTTGTGAGGTGTTTCCCATCAAGGTCAATCGAAGATGGTCGTGCAATTTAGTGGAGGCTGGCTCAATGGTTTAGATGTTAAAATTTCGCGTGCAAGACCGCAATCTCGCATGCATGGTTGCGAATGCGCACCGAATTCCAATGCGTTCTGATATACACTATTTAAACTCATTGTTACTGACGAAACTTATAAACCGAGTCAGCTAATCTCCTCTGGTAATACCCTACAACTTATTGTGATAAAAAACAATGATACATATACGAAGCAATTCTGTCGAAAGATGAATTTTGGAGAGAATGTTGGAGAACCTCAAGTGCTAAATTCTCTAAGGTCATATTGAATAAATGAGGGGAATAAAATGATAAGTAACACATAACCTGTTCACATCAGATACTCTTACGAACTACTTGAAAAATATGTGCTTAATAGAAGAAACCCGGTCGATCTACAAAGATTAAATTGACCATTCCATAATAAATATCTAAGATGTGGTTTGCCAACAGGAAAGAATGAGAAGTTTTGGAACAAAAGAGGTCTTATGAAGCTTTTATGTGACAGTTTTCGCTCTTCAGTCTCTTACAGCCGCTCCCTCTTCAGAATAGTTCCGGAGGCCACAAAAACCTACCCATCAATGTATGAATAATCACAGCAAAGCCTCAGATATTACACAAATTACATTCAGTCTCCAGCTTCCTTTTTGTTGCTTGCAAAATAATATTGAACTACCAGGAACCAAACGGATAGAAATGCTAACTGAGAGATTGCTTTCATAACGAAATTAAAAGTGAAATATTTGGATACTAACAGCACAGTATCACATGAATGAAGCGTCTGAAATATGAAGAAAAATACGTAACTGCTACTAAAGCTTAGAAAGACAACTACGCCGAACGTACCGACGGCAGATGCAGCTAGTGGAAATAGAGGCCTGTTAGTAATCATATACGTGACTAAGATTTTGACCTAGCTGCCGACACTAAAGTGAAAATTAGACCACTTGCCGCAACTTGAAATGACCGTCAAAAGAAGACCTCTTCAGTTACTGGGTAAATAAACATTGTGCATGATGACCTGTGGGTCATTCCGTGGCGGCTTTACGTAGAGCGATACACTGGATTTTCGTTAGGCCGTACATCGCTTCATTCATCCTAGAAACGGATATACTCAGACAAAGACTAATTAAGAATCTGAAAATTAGTAAGGTAAGTAGTCATCGCTGCTCAATGTATCCAATGTCAAGAGTTCGAACATTTTTGTGCACTTAATGAGTGTTGAATATAAATCATCATTCTCACTGAAAGCATCGTTTTAAGCTTTAAATCTGGTCTTGTTTGATTTTTTAATACGGTAAAAGGGGATCATCTAAAGGTTCATATTTGCAGATAATTGTAGATATCTACACATAACTGAGGGAAATCCCCAAAATTGACTTTTGGCCAAGTGAAAGGAAGAGGCGCAAAAACGCCGGATAATGCATATTAGTTGAGAAACAAAAATGGATGGTTAGAGACACACTTGGGACATCACAACCTACTTGAGGAGAATTTCATTCTGGTTGCAATTCACGTTCAACCGAGCTTAAACATACAGTTGAATAATGCGTTTGTGCGAAACTTAACAAATATTCTGATATCAGCTAGTCATTATCCAAGATGTTATGTGAATTCAGAAATTTAACACATCATACTGCACCAAGATGTCAGTCTACGTTTACTAAATGTAGCTAACTACCGTTTGAAAAACTATGAGCAGTAAAAAGAATTATAGCGGTTAATGAACTTCCGAAGTTAACAGTATTGTATGTCATCCATTCTGAAAATGACCGCACTAGTTTTGCTAAACTTACCCCTAGGTGAGGGTGCTCGGTCAAGCATACTTATCAAATCGCGTTTATGCACACTGAGCAGTGCAGCTCTTATGATGACTGGTAAATTAGATTCCATAGATATAGAGAGTTCACCATTTCCTACTGATCCACCAAATGAGACGGAAGTCCGCAAGGAACTCCAACTCTTGAAGCGCTACAAATCACCGGGCCCAGATGACATGCCTCGGGCTCTTTTTAAAGATGGTGGTGACTTTCTGGTTAAGGAACTGACTGTGCTGTTTACAAAGGTCTGGGAACTAGAGAGTGTACCGACGTCATGGAATGAGTCGATAGTTGTCCTTATCTTTATAAACGGTTCACGTCGTTCCCATAACAACTATCGAGGGATAAGTCTACCTCCGAATGCGTACAAACTATTGGCTTAAGTCATACTTCGTAAGTTGTTCAAAACCAGAGAAAGATTGACTCGCGAGGAGCAGGCTGGTTTTCGTTCTGGTCGAGAGCGTACTAATCATATTATCACCCTCCCCCAAATGTTATCAAAGGCCAACAATCGTAGTGTTTCTGGATATCAGGGCTGCCTTCGATTTGTTGGATAGGACTGTTCTCTGGGATTGTCTGTTGAAGAAGGGTGTGCCTGAGAAGTTTATTAACATCCTAAAAGCCCTATATAAAAACACCTCAGGCAGAGTGAGGGCATACAACCACCTCTCTCCATTGTTCCATTCAAGCAGTGGGGTTAGACAGGGTTGCCCAACCTCACTATTCCTCTTCAACTTTGCCATCGATGACATTCTAGAAACAGCTCTGATGGATGTAAATAATGGTGGTGTGGATCTGTTGTCTGAAGAAACTTCTCGACCTTGAGTATGCGGATGATATTGTCTTACTGTGCGATAATGCCCAAGGCATGCAATCCGCACTTAATCAGTTGACAATCAGTGTTCATATGTACGGTGTGTGCTTTGCACCTTCGAAGTGTAAAGTACTTCTACAAGACTGGCAGGATTCCAATCCTGTACTCACCCTGGATGGTAAGCAGATAAAAGCAGTCGAGAAGTTCGTGTATCTGGGTAGCTGAATAAGTGTTGGTGGTGGCGTGAGTGATGAGATCAATGTACGTATAGTGAAATCCAGAGCGGCTTATGCCAATCTGGGCCATCTTTGGTGCCTTCGTGATATCAGCCTGGCTGTAGAAGGTCGGACCTACAACGCGTCGGTGAGAGCAGTTTTGCTCTATGCTTGTGAAACCTGGCCTCTCCGAGTTGAGGACGTTAGACGACTCTCTGTGTTCGATCATTGCTGTCTCCGAAGGATTGCTGACATCCAGTGGCAACACCATATCAGTAATGCAGAGGTTCGGCATCGTGTGTTCGGGCACAGAGATGATAATTCAATTGGTGTTACCATTATGAAACACCGACTTCGGTGGCTTGGACATGTTCTACGAATGTCATCTCAGAGAATTCCACATCGTGCATTATTTGCCGAATCTGGAACTGGTTGGAAAAAGCGGAGAGGTGGTCAGTGTATGACATGGTGTCATGATACGAAGGACAGTTGCAAAGGGCTGACTTCTGTTATTTCTTCACGACTTCCTGGTAGGGGTCCGAGAGATGGTGCGACACAGTGGCTAGAGACATTATAAGATATGGCTCAGAATAGAAGCCAGTGACGATCCTGCTGTAAACATCTGCTTGCTTCATAAAAAGTGGTTGTGTCTCCCTTAAAGATTTATTTTGATTGTGCCTTTCCGTTCCCCCATTTTCACTATTATTATTATACCACCTTAAATCAGTCTCTTCGCTTCTATTCTCCCTTTTTTCCTTCCCCTTAAATTCTCATTGTTTTGCGTGGCGCACTCATGTACCAATATTTATGTGTTCAAATAAATAAAAAAAGCTTTGACTAAACACTGATTCATTTTCCAGATATATCTTCCAATCCCTTCACTCTTGCCTTCTGTGTTAATGTTTTCCAGGACCATTTTATTAGAAGTCCCCGAGGACAGTGTTATTAAGCATTGCATACCCCTGACATCATTCGACATATTTGATCACACACCTGATTTCAGAGTAATTTATTCCTGACATACTCTGTAGACCCTTTCATTGCATACAGACCTTAAGAAAAATAGCGATGATTTATTTCCTACATGTAGTCATAAAGGACAAAAAACGCCACTCTATGCAGTTACTCAGCGTCGTATCCACAGCTTGGTTGTTATACGGAAAATCCCCAATTTTTTCTGAAATTAGAGTTGGAACCAAATCTCCGTGCCTCATGGTTACATTACTAAAATAGCTACCAAGAAACTTATGTATTCTTTAGGAACATTTATTGAGTCATTCGAACTGAGAAGCGTGACCTACATCTTTTAGCGGTTTTTCGACCACGTATCCCCAGGCTTTTACTTACTGCATGCACACGCTGAGGATTTTTTGATTGCAAGTTTGGACAAATCAATATACTGAAATCACTATCTTAATTCCAAAAGATTTCAAAATACTGGAATACAGTAAACATCCAGAGATGCTAATTTTAGCCAAATCATAGGACCTACATGACCGCTGTGTCGACCACTAAGGTATCTGCCTTAAGAAAGGCAGTTATTGTGGAACAAAATTAAGATTATAGTATGATCAATCATATCCGGCCAAATTAAATAGCTTTGTGTAGATGTCAACCTTGTACTGTAGCAATCCTTCATGACCATCAATTTATCCAGACATTCTGGAAATCAGCCATTTTGCAGCTGGTGACAAGTCGCTTGTCCTCAAACCTAATCAGTCAACCAGTGGGTAAGAAACTGTCGTTGTATCAAACGACTGCAATTCTTTTCATTACGAAGCCACTAATATGGAGCTCCGAAGAGCACCTGGATTATTTATAACCACAGGAATCATAATAGTGAAGTTAGTTTATAGTGGGTTAAAGGCATAGACCATATAGCTAGCTACCATTGCATCCCCTAATTTTAAATTGAAAATATGCTAGACGGTATCCCATAAAGAGACTGCAAATCTGACAACACACTATGTTCAGCTTTTTATGGAACCCACAGTTAAGCTGCAATTAGGATGGATTGCTTAACATTAAGATAAATGTGTTTGCCTTTGTTAGTGAATTATCTATTAGTGAAAAGCGATTTTACGAAACTTAAAGAATGAAACGGTTTGTTAGAATTGATATGCAAACGGAAATGTTAAATGCTGAAACTGCCTTTATCTTACAAGTTGTATAAATACGTGTGTAGGATCATCGTTTCAGGTTACAAATAAAGATCGCAAGCAGAAACAGCATATAGAAACAAAAGCTTTCAAGTACGTTTCAAACGTATGTATTTACATACAATCAAAATCTCATAATGTGAGCAAACACATAACTAAATCTGAGTTTCGTTAATTAGTACATATTGATCGCATTATTGGAACGAGGCATTTTTATACGATCCAGATTTTTTATTATTATATCATGCAAGGTGGCCTGCAAATTTTAAAACAGTAGAAAAAATAGGCTATTATATATTGATGCATGATATATTAAAATAAATCTACGTCATCACTCTTGAATGAAAAACTTTCTTATGTCGTAAGCAACCTTCAATTGATAATCATTAATTTGGTTATAAATCTCTAATAAATTAAATAATATTAAGCAATTATTGAATTTACTATCAACTCTCGAGTTTAACACATTTTACAAGTCCGGTTTATACCTGAATACATATGTTAATAAAAGAAAATTCTACCTTGATTTTGTAACTTTTGAATTCACAATAAACATATTCGCCAATCTTAGCTACAGGGTGTTTAGATGTTTTCTAATTGAAAAAAAATTAGATGAAGGTATATGTTTTGCATACTTTACAAAAACATCTAATCACTGGATAATACTGAAAGTTAGACACTGAATAAAAGGTACATCTTCGACAAAGTATTTTACAAAAATGAATCGACCGAATGATAAATATATGTTATATACGAAACAACTATTCACTTAGAAATATATTGGAAGAACAATTAATTGTCAATGTTAGACATTTACTTTGTGATTAGTTAACTTGTACTTTTAAGAAACCAGATTAAAACTCCGTTTTTTCTTTAGAGGCACTGACAAATAACTGTAAACAAGTTCTTAGACGCAAACAAATTAAATTAGATAGACGGAACACAGTCTAACAACATTTATACAGAGCGACAACATTGAAGTCTGAAAGAAAAACAGATTTTACTCCACAGTAAGAAAATAGCCGTATTATTCACCCATATCTAACGAATGATATTTTTCTTTGGTACAAACCACTAGAACGACGCAAATTTAGTCCTTTTTAATGAATAACCAGAAGAGACATTCATGAGACTGATGTGAAAAGAAAGTTCCACTAAAGTCAGAGATAATCAATATGTAAATCGATTTAGTCGTTCTTGAAAATTGCGCGAACTGCTATTGCCGATTTGATTTAAAGTCTATCCAGTTCTACGGGATTATTAGGTGGTTTGTTCAGACCTATTTTTTGATTGATCGCACATAAAATTCTCGTGTTGTTCCTTTGTACTGTTTAAACTTGGATTAACTTCGACTTGGTTATTTATTCTCTAAAGAAGTGGCTTACACTGAGTCACGAAACGTCACAAAATATAATTTTTCTACTTATTGGGATATTACAAATATATTAATTTATTTATAACAATCTAACCAATGTTCAGTTTATTCAAAATTATCAAATCAAACCTTGGTAATGATACCCATAATCATTATGTATTGAATAAGTCGCAAGTAGTTTGCAATAATGAATCTTGATATCTTCTAAATTATTTGAAGTAATAGTATTAATGAGTAAAAATGAAAATGATTTTATTTGCATGATGAATAAACAGACATTAACGCTTACATAGTGATTACGAATTTCCATGATAATATATCGCATTGTTATTGCTTGTTTCTCATCCATATCACGGATACATTCACGATAGTCTTCAATATGAGGATATTTTGCTACTTTACCCACTAATTTCCCTCTTGAGGCATAATATCTGTGTATAAGGGATAAAACAGAGGAAATAAAATTCAGGTATCAATAAGCACAGAAGTAAATACAATTAGAAAAAAAAACTACCTGAATAAGAAAACAATTCTGTATCCTGTGTTAGAATGATATGATTGAAACAAAGCATAAATATCAACTGAATACTGTTATGGCTTGAGTACGTTGATTGGTACCCTATGTCAAAATCACTGATCACAATTCTAACAATAGTTTTTACTATCCTGTATCCAATACTTATTCTACAGCCTGCACCGTTAACCTTAGCTCCCATTGGTTCATTGTTCTCAGGCCATTTTCCATCACATAGTAACAGTTTATGCATTAGGAGAAAGCTTACAAGCAGAAAAACATAAAAATGCAATAATTTAAGCATTTAATAACTAAAGAGCAAAAATAAAAGCAATAACTTCAGATGAAACATTTCCGAAAGTTCAGATTTTCTAATAATCACCCCGTTATATAAAGGATTATTATTCATAAGAAAGTTAACTAATGCCTGATTAATGTAATAAACTCATTAATCAGGTATATATTTATATATAACACGAGGCTTTGAGTCGCACCTTTAATATATGAGAGCAAATAAAACTACTCCGTCATCCAGTTGTCAAAATATAAATATGCTTTAAAACTAGATCATAGAAGAAGCGTCAATTTTCATGAGATATTAAACGCTTATTTCGAACAAGGCAAGAATAAAATGGAATTTCTAAAGGAAAACAATGATTTTAAAGAAGAGACTTTTCTAAGATTTTTAATGAGTGGGTTAGTTTGTTATTGCCTTTTATATCAGCATCATTAAAATATTTCCAACAACCAAAAGCAAGAAGTCTATAAACGAGGAAGGAAACCCAATTTCATATTCTCAACCTGTAATGAATAAATATAATCTATAAATCGAGTGTATAAATATACAGCCTGATCAGCTGAGGAGATTTGCTTTATCACGGAGTGAAGGGTTGGATCGTAAGTGTGCACTACTGTGGGATACTAGTAATCAGGATGAAACAGCTATTCACCACTGCCTTGTTTAGAATACCTTTACAGCCAAAACCACTCCATGACAATCACTCACACTACATATATGTATATATTTGCAGATAGCAATGATAACAAACCGATCTAGACAATGCTAATCTGAGGATTGATCTTTTGTGTAGTCATGAGTGAGCACTACCTCAAACAGGGACGAAAATTTTGTTCAATCCTCCCTAGCTTTCAAAAGTACCCAAAATCAGATCAATCTGTGACCAATACTACCTACAAATTTAACTGATCTCCACAAATCCACTTTGAACAAACTATAACAGTCAGCTCACCAGTGACTTACTTCAAAACATTCCCGGAGTTTAATGAGAATTTGTGAGTAGTGGGGTTCAAACATATCTGGAATGACGGTGTTACCAACAGCATTAGACAATCGTCATGCTATATGATATATTGATTGAGGCTAGAAATGTACCACTGGATGTTGACCCAGTGGTCCTAATGGTTGAACATTCGCCACAAAGCCTGAAGGTCTTGAGTTTGATTCTCGGGGGTTTGTGAGTGCACACGACTGAGGGGCCCATACTAGGACGAAACAGCTGTCTTGTATCCCAACTGTACTCAATCTGTAACAAATACTACCTACAAATTAAACCAATCTCCAGAAAACCCCTTTACATATATATGGGAGAATTAAAAAAGTAGATAATATAAACAAACCTTGTGACTTGATCCAAGAAAGTACATGCATCCCTCTCGATACCCGATGCTTCACCTAAAATCTCTTCTTGTATTCCTACACCAAAATTATTTCCATCTTCAATTCGTGGTATATTAAATTGAACCCATAAACGAACAAGTTGAGCTTCAATCATAAGTTGAGTTAAACATGGTTTAGTTTTCTTAGAAAGTAGAAGTATGATAAAAACTGGTTAGTTAAATTAAATATTAAATTAATTTCATGAGCTTTGAATCTCTGATGTTAACCTAAATCATAAGTGTTTTACAGACTTATTGGTTGAAAGATATATTGACCATTAAATTAAATTTTTCTTCCTACATACTTAAAAAAACAAAAAAATATTTAACAGAAATCTGAGTATGAAACCATTGGCATAAAATTTCTACGTCACTCATGATTAAAGGTCTTACTTGTAGGTAGAAAAATAAGAACTAAGAACGATACAATCACTGAAATGTGAAGGAATTAAATAAAGAATTATAGTGGGGTGCCATAAAAGTTCCATGTCACTATAAATCACAGTCCACAGTTGAACCGCCAGAAACTTACGATTTTTTAAAAAATCAAAACGTAAATGTCTCAATTGTGTAAAGAATAATATCCATGACACTGTTGGGTAATGATGGATCTCCGAAATAACTTGTAAACTTTACCCTCCTGTAGTTTAGTTAATGTGAATTTGAATTCATCGCCTTTCTCGTTTGTCTCACTTAAAGGGAAGATGTTACCCTAGTTGGTTTGTTTATGATGTAGGATGCAATTTTGTTACACTAGCCCTATAGGGTTTCACATAAATATATACACTCAAGTTGTCTGCTATATAATCTTTCTTCTAGTTGATAAAATAAATTTTCTGAACAAAACTTGGATTTTGTCACTACCTAGCATATAAGAAGTCTCACTCATTGACAATTAAGTTGAAGTTGAGCTTTTTTGGCTTAGTAAATAAATGTATATAGAATTAGAAGTAAATACTGAAAATGGGGGTACGTTTATCCCTCATTATCGTTCAGGTGAACAATTTGAAAACAGACAGATACAAAACACGTGCTTTAATCTGCTCTTGAGTCATTTGAATGCATGCAGTAATAGATATTTTTTAATGAATTTGTATCTTACATTTTACAGAGTAGCTGATATTTTCCATTGAAATAAACAACTGGCAAAGTAGTTTAAAATCCGTAATGGATAGGTGCAGATTGATAAAATACAGTTTTTTTTTTAAACTGAATACAATGTTTATTTACTGATAAAGCGATCAAATGCCCTGACACTAGGTCCTGTACAAGGAAATGAAGTTCAAATATGAATTATAAGCCAACTTTTTCAAGTTATAAAATACAGTTCTACCGGTATCGATTTCAGATGGAAAATTAACTTTTAAATTAACAATATTTCTTTAGCATCCTTGTGACAGAAGTCCTTTTCAAAAAACCAAACCATTCCATATTTACTTTTATTCCGACGGTAGTATTTCTCATAAGATGATTATTAATATTAAATAGTTTTATACACCTTTATTCATTATTAGTTTCAAAATGAAGTTTTCCCTTTACATTGGAAATCATGTAAATTTATTGTCAGTGTAAAAGAAATTAAAAATGTGTTGAAAAAGTGTAGGACCCCATTATGAGTTGATAAATTTAATTGAAAGTCTTAATGTTATCTAAAATTTCGGAAAGTTGACCTAGAAAATCAAATGGACTTTAAATAAAAATATTATTTTAATAAACGCTGACAATGGAAAAATGATATTGTCGATATTCTTATAGCTTCTACTACTTTATTCATCAATTTTAATGATGATAATATGTGATTAAATTCTTCACAAAATAAATTAATTAATCATTTGTCAAAGTCCATAAATTAATGTGATGAAAATGTATTGAAATTTAACCTTGAATTCGCCTCCAAACGATGTTGAATTGGTTTCTCAAAAGTTTCGTTTAGAGATCCCATTCATATTTAACACAACGAGATAATTGTAATCCGTAGCAAAGGATTTTTGCCGATATTCAGCGAAATCGGACATATGATGAAAATTTAGCCACATTTCATTTCTTCGAATCTTCAGACCGATGCATTTCATCACTCAGTTTTTGTGTTTTTAAACTTTAACGGCTACTGACCCCATGATTCTTTTTACGTCATTGTTTTCATTTACTATTATGGTGATGATGTAAAGTGATATTCAACTTAACCAAACCCTATATGTGTATCTGATGATATTGACTAGGTTTATTTCCTTTTTAATTATATCAAGCAGATATACATGAGATATAACAAATAGCGACAGAGTGTAGTTTGTCAAAAAGAAACAACAGTCTGAAATATTACCAGGGAGTATCATATTTTAAACGTTAAATTCATCAAAATAGACACTGACCTCTATCATAGCTTTGATATGTTTATTATATGACACAGAGCCATTTGGTAAGGCGTAGACAAAAGAACCTTTACTAGGAAACTGTTGTTTATCATTGGTTAGTTTATCTGTAGCATTGGTTAAACCAGAATCCATATCATCACCAGGAGGTAACGAATTATGTGGATTAATAGGATAAGGTATATTCACATCAGAATGGACATACTTTCCCTCTAAACAAATGATGAATAATTTAATAATGACAAAAAATCTAAATAAAAAACTAATGACACTTGAGATTAAAAACACAATAAAACTATGGTCATATGCACTGCTGAGCATCCCCATATTAGAACGAAACGGCCATCTAGTGCTTTCAGACTTTTAATAGTCTAAATTGGAATCGGTTTGTGATTTCAGTGAAATCCAACAATCTCTACAAACCCATACCGAATATAATCATCACGCTCAAGTAAAATTTTTAACGTCACCTATGCATATTTGTGTCAGATTGTAGCATTGCTTATAACAGGCTATCTTCATACGTTATGTTAACATGAAGTAATGTGTAATGGCTAGTGAAACTACCCGGTCGTTCAAACTAAAGTTAGTTGAAGCGGGATCTAAACCCTCTATATGTTGCTTGGAACTGGAGTGCTTTAACCACTAATTCACTGCTTCCGTACTTTAATGTAAAAATTCAGTATATCAAACTGATTATCAGACTGATCGATCTCTCACAACATATAAAGCACATATTTCAGGTAGAAAACAAAAGCATACATTGTAATTGTGCAATCGATAGAACAAACTGATAATTATTTAGTGACAACAGTAGAAATTAAGATGAATCCAAAAATAGGTGCGATCGTTGAAATAAACTAAAAGGAAGTCCTCCTATGTGTCCACAAGTAATTAAACGACGTTTACTAAACTCCATCAACATCGATCATAATAACGTGTCATTTAGAATTGTGAATATTATGAGTTAATAAATAGAGCTACTAAGTATTGTCGTTGATAACAGATAATTAGTTAATCAATCTAATATTGTAGCTAATCACGAAACGTGACATAAAAGTCACTATTCTGAGGGAAAATATTGACATTCAGAGGTCAATATACAATCAGAATGATAAGAAGTCAGTGACTATGGAACTAATCTGCATTACCTAAAATGGTACATGGAGCGTTTACCTTCAAGGTTTCAGAGTCAGTCAGTCACAATGTAGAACCCAGTTCGTATGTACACCGGTTCAAGTTGCAACAAACCGTTAGCTCAAACATGAAATTGTCAGGTCAGAATAACGGAGTTAGTAACAACAGTACGAGTGGTGATTGTAAAGACTAGGCTTTAAAGATAAGATTTAGAGTCTCAGAAGAAATTATTTAAATCCCAACACATACAAAAGCTATACGCACAAGTAAATTAAGAATATCTCTTCATATCTGGGGATAAGTGTTTATGAATATCTTTAAGAGATCTTATGTCTAAACATTGCTGATTTATCTGAGGAAAAATTATTGACAAGACTTACCTAGAAAAAACATATCTGACGCTAATATGTCTTCCATTTCAAATACACGTTTTGGAAAGACATTGAGTACTAGCTCTTCACCATCAACTTTAGTTTTTTCTTTGTACGCATTTAATCTACCCACTTCCGTGTTCATAACGTATATCAAGTAATTCAGTAAAGTTGCTGAAGTGAAAGCAAATTTAACAAGTTAACAGTATTGATGAATATATTGAACATAAAAAGAATGAAGAACAGTACAAATACGTACCGCTTCCTTAGGTTTCATACACAAATAGAGTAACTGGAGTTTAATTTTTACATCAAAAATCAACTGAATGATAGAAGTCTTCAAACATAAAAGGACGCTTATATCTACAGCATAAATATGTAGTTAAATGGTAGAGACTTACGATCAGTGTTTTGGAAAATATAATAAGCTTACATGGATTTATATTCTAAATAAACAAAGATTATTTATGATGAATACTTGGAAATCACAGAAGGGTTAAAGTCAACATTTTTAGTTATATAACATTAAAATTTTAATGTGAATATTCCTATCATGATAATTCGAAAACAAAAAATTGTCCCATATATGTATTTCTGGGTAATTACACATCAGATTTTACAAGTAGAACCGTTTATTTTGAACAATAAGACCGCTCCGGTTGGTAGGATTACAATAAACGTAAATGAACAAGAGTGAAATAATTGCAAGAAATCTACCCAGGTGGTCAAGCAGTTTGTTAGAAATTTGTGGGTATTGAGTAGAGGTGTTTAGAAAATAAGTTTTAAAAAATGCATGAATACTGTATAAAAAAGGACTGAAAATAATAGGAAAGAGAATAAAATAACGAGCGTATACATGGATATAAAAAAATATAAAATAAACACTAAAACCTAGGAACATATATGACCTATGTAGACTACTCAGGTATTAATTAAGAACAAGTCAGCTGATAAACGTTCAATGGACCAAAAATATCATGTGTTACCCTAAATGAAAAAATTTTATCTTATGTGGTATGCATTTTTCTAAGTCAATTTAAAGTTCAGAACTGGGCTTTCCATCAACCAGGTGGATAATCAGGAAGTCAACCGGGCATTCCACAAATATCTTTCAGTTGTTTGAAATAGATAAAATTATCCTAGTTCTAACAATAAAATAAATGGATGAGCACCTGCAAAGTAAAATCGGCACTGACAAATAGATTTACAAAACAGTAATAGTTTAGAAACTGAAAGCACTATCGACACTGAGAAAATGGGTTATTTGTATTCTGAATAGTACATGTTTTGCAATGAGAAAAAAGTTGTACTATCTACAAACACTAGGTCCACGGGATATTTTGATTCTACTTATAAATGACTGAATCTGAACCAATGATAGCAACGACGACATTAAAGATCAATTCTACGAGCGGCTGCAGTCAATCATAGAGAAATGTTCAAGAAAGGACCTCACCATTCTGATGGGAGATCTAAATGCCAAGGTCGGAATAGAAAACACTGGATATGAAGATATTATGGGACGACATGGACTGGGAGAGAGGAACGAAAATGGAGAAAGATTTGCAAATTTGTGTGCATTCAACAAATTAGTCATAGGAGGCACAATATTTCCACACAAACGTATACACAAGGCTACATGGATCTCACCGGACCACACTACAGAGAACCAGATAGACCATATTTGCATCAACAAAAAATTCCGAAGGACAATGGAAGATGTGAGAACCAGGAGAGGAGCTGACGTAGCTTCAGATCACCACCTAGTTGTAGCCAATTTAAAACTGAAGCTAAAATTGAACTGGACCAGTGGACAAACAGCACTACAAAGGTTCAATACAGCCTTCCTTCGAGATACTGACAAACTCAATGAATTCAAGATAGCTCTCAACAACAGGTTCCAAGCCTTTCAAGATCTACTGAAGGAAGAAGAAACTACCATGGAGGACAACTGGAAAGGCATCAAAGAAACATTGACTTCAACGTGTCAAGAGGTTCTGGGCCTAAAGAAACACCATCATAAGGAATGGATCTCTATAGAAACACTGGACAAGATCAAAGAAAGGAAGAACAAGAAGACAGCAATTAACAACAGCCGAACACGAGCAGAGAAAGTCCAAGCACAAGCTGAATACATAGAAGCAAACAAACAAGTGAAGAGGAGCATTAGAGCCGACAGGAAGAAATACGTGGAAGAATTAGCAACGACGGCAGAAAAAGCTGCTAGAGAAGGAAATATGAAACAGCTCTACGATACAACGAAGAAACTAGCAGGGAAATACAGTAAACCAGAGAGACCGGTCGAAGACAAAGAAGGCAAGCCAATCACTGAAATTCAACAACAGCGAAACAGATGGGTAGAATACTTCGAGGAACTCCTGAATAGGCCGGCTCCAATGAATCCACCGAACATCGAAGCAGCACACACAGATCTTCCTATAGATGTCAACCCACCAACGACGGAAGAAATTAGAATGGCCGTCAGACAAATCAAGAACGGGAAAGCAGCAGGACCCGACAACATACCAGCTGAAGCACTGAAATCAGACGTCGAAGTAACCACAAGCATGCTTTACCCTCTATTCAAAAAGATTTGGGAGGAGGAACAAGTGCCAATGGACTGGAAAGAAGGACACCTCATCAAGATTCCAAAGAAAGGAGATCTGAGCAAATGTGAAAACTACAGAGGCATCACACTACTGTCAATACCAGGGAAAGTCTTCAACAGAGTGTTGCTGAACCGGATGAAGGATGCAGTAGATGCCCAACTTCGAGATCAACAAGCTGGATTCCGAAAGGATCGGTCGTGCACAGACCAAATTGCAACACTACGGATCATCGTCGAACAATCAGTTGAGTGGAACTCGTCACTATACATCAACTTCATTGATTATGAAAAGGCATTCGACAGTGTAGATAGGAGGACATTATGGAAACTTCGACACTACGGAGTTCCTGAGAAGATTGTCAATATTATCCGGAACTCATACGACGGACTACAGTGCAAAGTAGTGCATGGAGGACAGCTGACGGATGCATTCCAAGTAAGGACCGGAGTCAGACAAGGCTGTTTACTCTCCCCCTTCCTCTTTCTTCTGGTGGTCGACTGGATTATGAAGACCTCGACATCTGAAGGAAAACACGGAATACAATGGACAGTTCAGAACCAATTAGACGATCTGGACTTCGCAGATGACCTAGCCCTCCTATCACGTACACACGAACAGATGCAGATGAAAACAGCCAGTGTAGCAGCAGTCTCTGCATCAGTAGGCCTCAGTATACACAAAGGGAAAACCAAGGTCCTCACATTCAAAGCGGAGAACAGCAAACCAATCACCCTTGATGGCGAAACTCTGGAAGATGTAGAATCCTTCACATATCTGGGAAGCATCGTCGATAGACAAGGAGGTTCAGATGCAGACGTAAAGGCGAGGATTGGCAAAGCAAGGGCCGCATTCCTACAATTGAAGAACATATGGAACTCAAAAGAACTTTCAACCAATATCAAAGTGAGAATCTTCAATACGAACGTCAAGGCAATTCTACTGTATGGAGCTGAAACTTGGAGAACTACAACAACCACAATCAAGAAAGTACAAGTATTTATAAATAGCTGTCTACGCAAGATACTCAACATCCATTGGCCGGATACCATCAGCAATAGCCTTCTGTGGGAGAGAACAAACCAACTTCCAGCTGAAGAGGAAATTATGAAAAGACGATGGAAATGGATAGGACATATATTACGCAAATCGTCAAACTGCATCACGAGGCAAGCTCTAACTTGGAATCCTGAAGGGAAGCGGAAAAGAGGAAGGCCAAAGAACACATTACGTCGGATAATAGAAGCAGATATGAAAAGGATGAATTACAACTGGAAGGAGCTGGAAAGGATTGCCCAGGACAGGGTTGGATGGAGAATGCTGGTGAGCGACCTATGCTCCTTCACGAGGAGTAACAGGTGTAATTAAGTAAGTAAGTAATAAATGACTGAATGGCTTAAATACTTTAATATTAACTGTTTTCCAAAACGGTCAGATTTATCTAGGTTATATGACTGGCTACAACTCATTTTTAACAGAACATATGACGCTATTGTCTTGTCATTTTCGTAATGCCTATGGTATCGAGCAAATTTAAAGTGAGGGTTATCATAGAGGAGGCATATTAAAGCTGAAAGAAATGGACTAGTTAGTATGGTTTTGAACAGGGAAAACACGAAGTAGCCAATAATAGTTTAAAATTTGTCAGGTGTGAATAAGTAACCTGGTTAGAGGAAAATGACTTTAGGACAACGTAGTAATTTATTCAGATACCTCACTGGTGGCGAAATTCGGGATTTACGCAGAAACTATTAAATGTCATGTGCTGGACTAATAGATAACCAATCAACAACGGCAGTAATATGATTTCCATTGTTAAAGCTTTCAAAAGACCACAGAACTGTCGCGCGTCTGACATAACTGAATTAATTTTTGAGGAAGTCAATATACAATGTTTTTGAAGGTAAATAGTGATTGCCATCACAAATGAATACACCTATATCTAGGATATACAGTAGGTTCTGTGATCTTAAGCTTACGTTAACTAACGTTATCCTGTCACTTAATACAACATAGTTTCGTCAATCCTATTCGGTATCTTATGACATAAGTTTGGCATAAATTATTGGAAACGCTAGCTAGTTTCGTACATTGCTTCAAGCGTCGGTTAAAACCAATTACATATGCATTAAATAACAGGCAAACGCGAGACGTATAATATAACAGGTATCGGATTTCGGCGCGAAATTCACCCAACCATTCGGCCAAATAGACTCTTGGTATTGTAGCTTATGTGAGTTTGTGGTGAAAACCCTAAATCTAATTCCTAACATTAACCATCAACTGTAAATCATAATTTGAATTCCTCACACACACATAACACTTCGTTTCTAATCTCAGACACTGAATCAAGACTTCAAATTATGATCGTTCAACACTACATTCTGAGTTAAACCCTAGGAAGGTAAAAGACCAACTAACCAAAAATTTACGACTAGTCACATTTCCAAATCTCTCTATTTTAGTGAAAATTGGCACAAAAACCCAAAGATTTCCCAAGGTCTGGAAAATTCCCCGAGATGGGGGCCTGGGCTGTACCCACGCTGTCACACAAAACCACTACTCTATATCTTACTAAAAAGATAAAGTCATACCGCTGAATACACACGTTGTTACTAAAGCTGAAATATCACTCGAATCGGGCGTAGCTATAATGTAGATCATATTTAATAAATAATTACTTTATTGAAATATAAACGTGGCGGGAATCGCAAAATAATCATACGTCGTTAACAAGTGGGTTGTGAACACTTTGCTAAAGATATCTTTTATATTCGACTGGCTGAAAGGATTGCAACCTATATCTGAAACCCACCACGTGTAGCACAGCCCTCAAATAAACCGCTTCAAAATTTCCTCAGTCTTAAGTAATAAGAGTAATACGTTGGCAAACCTATGTTAATGTTAACAGGTTGCTTTTCACTGAATGTCCAGCCTTTACTTGAAAATGTTCACTGATGCGGCTGATAACACTTGTTTAGGCAAGGCGTTCCAGTTTTAACCACTCGATGGAAAAACGGAACGCGGCTCATGGAAGATTTTCTGTCTATATCATATTGATAACTAGTACTGTGTCCAATGTGTCTGAGCACACTACTTCTAGAGTTAATTTCTAGGCGTCGACCTCGAGACCATTCTATATTGTACCAAAAAGATAATATTGAATAAAGCCATTAATAATAATAATAATAATAATAATAATAATCCAACTACTTCGTTTAGGTCAGCTTGAAGATCAAAATTATCTGCCTTACTTCTTAGTGTTCTCCAGATTTTGACATCATCCGGAAACAGTAATGACGACAACTTAAGCAATAGTGGTAATTCGCTGGCGGAGAGAAGGATTCAGGTATCTAAGATGTTACCTTTGGGTATACCAGACTTCTATTTAAATAGCGGTCTATTTGCCGTCACTCTCTTTCTGTATATATAACGTTCAAGTTTTAGTGCTCGTTCCCGTTACTGAAGTACAGTATATTGATCTATTTGCAATTTACTAACCCAAATTAACAAGCTCCAATTTAGGTGCCAAAGTTTATTGACAATTTATAAATAGTCTATCCAAATGTCGTTCTTCAATTTTTTGTGTTCCCGAGGCAAAGACTTCCGAATACCAAACCAAAGACAGAGAAACCAAAAAGTCCAAAAATAATGATATAAACAAATATGTTCAGAACTCGAACGAAATTAATACATCCCAAAACACAGTGAAATTATTAAAATCCAATATAAAGTTTTTAATCAGCCAAATGTCTTCAGTTCTCCCGTAACACTTTCTGTGGTCACATAAGATGTTTCCTATTCATTTCTGTATATCACCTGTTATTCCGAAACTCGAGGATTTCTGCGTAGGACATAAGTGTGAAATTTTGTCAAAAGCTTTCATTAAGCCTATGAATACTACATAAATACACAGGGCCGCTGTCCATCCCCTCTTGCAATAAGTAAGTTGGTCATGCATGGATTTTTGTTTCAAAACCCGTATTGCACAGAAGTTAACAGATTACACGATTCTATGTGACTTAGTAACTTAACGATTATGCTGGTTAGACTGACAGGTCGGTAGTTAGGTACGATATATCTCTGATCGTCTCTAATTATTAGGCGGACAAAGCATCTTTCCAATCTCTAGGGAGTTAAGTGTGGGGAAGGGACATGTTGAGAAGCATCTCGAGTAGTCTTGAAATAATGTCCTCGAGGAATGACAGCAATCGTGGATGTAGTCGATCAAGGCATGGTGTCTCACAAGGTTTAAGGCTAGCGATCAATTGAAGAAAAGTTTCCTCATCCATATATACAGGTTCTATAGCTGGTATATCACTGGTATGAGTTGGACAAATATTTTAAACAATACACATAGAACAGACTTCGCTGAAATAGTTCGTAAATTGCATGGCATCTTGCTATAGCCTTTTCACATATATCTTGGATTTCTCGATATTCATACTTAAGTTAATCGTGTCCCGTTGACACGAATAAGTCCCAAAAGCGTTTCCTACGCTTCAAAAGATTTAAGGTTACTTTATTAATCCATGGAGGACAATGTGGCAGTTTACTTGTTGATTATGGGATAAACGGTGATGTTACGGACTCTAATGTAGCCTTAAATGTATTCCATTCGTCTTCGATTAATCCATCCGCATCGACGGACCACTCAGTCGAGATAGCACGGTCTCTGATTGCCAGAACAGTAGCCCTCCAGATATTGGAACGAGATGGATTGGATACACATTGTATAACATATGTCCGAAACGTAAAGTACGACGTGATCACTATTCGCTTGTGAGGGGAATTGCTGAACGCCGATGATATTCTCACAGTGGTGTGTCAGGACAAGGTCTAACAATAACAGATCATGTTCCAAATCAATATATGTCGGTTTCGCAATACATTGTGCAAGTGCACACCTAATAATGGTTAATAAAAAGTCTCTATCGAAACCCTCACCAAAACTGCGATCTTTATCCGACTGATATATATATATATATATATATATATATATATATATATATATATACAATTGTGAAACAACACTCGGCCTTACTCCAAGAACAGATGTCTATTAATATAAAGTCGTAACCAAAACGGCACGAACTACGTTATGCTCGTCGTACAATCACTAACCCGTGTCTAGACTTATTTGTACAAAATTAAGCCTCGCATATAACTAACTTGCGCCTCCGTTACGATCGATTGTACACGAAATTGATCCCTGACATAAAGCATCAAGCATTCTCCCTTGCGATTTATAACTCTATCACTTTTAATATTGATGCAGCCTGCGATGATGGGAGAACAGTCTATATCTACGGTGAGACGAGGTGCCATGACAACAGTTATATCGGGACTTTATCCGTCCAACATCAAACATAGCCCGGACGTTTTATTTCGAAGTTTATGAGTGCTCGTGTGGGTGACGGAAAACTCCATCATTCGGAAGGGATGGTAGGTTGAATAGAATAACATTTTATACGAGGCTCAGAAGACATTTAGAAAATAAGGCCATGGGCAACGAACTTTCTGCTAGTCCGACGCAGTTAGACGAACTACTAAACTCAGAAAGTACCGGTCAGTGTTTCAGTCCGTAACTTTCATGAGGCGTTAAAACCCACACTGCATGAAAACGTAACTGAAACATACATAACTGTAGCGATTATTTCATACATAACAAGTTCATACGAGTGTATAATCTATTGAACTACATGAGATCAGATCAGTCACATGATTGTTAATAAACAGGAATACATATATACCTTTACATATGCCACCGCATGCTTATCTCATAAAGAGATTTTTCTGGGCTCTATTAACTTGAGATTCACTTTCACAGTGATCCACACCACGGTTCAATTAATTTTATTTTAATTGAATTCAGATAGTACACGTTCGTGGCAATCGGGGTTCAGTCCTATTCGATCCAATTAATTGTTATTATGAGACCAAGATTTCTACAACTAAAATACAATTACTGGCAGATCTAGTGGTGAAATTTTCTCACTATTACCTTAGCTACAGCCTCATAGATCAGACTTTTCAGATAAATGTTGCACGATTATACATCCCAATTCCCTTAAACGACCAATAAATCCATACTTCCTTATTTCCTAAATCATGCCATTCTCTTTGCGCGGTAAACTAAGCCTCATCCCGGTGAAGCACCAACTGTTGGACCTGTCAATCCTGCTGTGTAGTGAAAGTAAGCGAAAAAGAGAACCGAAAATGAAATAGCGAGAGATGAGAACACCAAAACCTTAGGGGAATCTGGCGAGACGTTCTTTCACGTAAGAAACATCATCGTGCAAGATGTCCTAGAAAACACGGACCTAGGTTATGCAGACTATGACGCCCTAAATTAGAAGATCATATACTAAACCCTAAAGCTTAAGAACATGTTCATCAAACAAGTAGTACAATAAGCTAAGATGAAAAGGGATTCCGGACCTCGGCTAATGAACATATCTTTCACATAATCTCAAATGGTGGTGTAACAGCTCAGGTTGGTTGGTTAAGAGTTGACCCCAAACAACCAAGCTTATGCCAAAACAGTATTGTTCAAGTATTCATTCACTTCCTTATTTTTCATAAGCGTTATGTTCCCTATCATCTTGAATGTTGAGAGCTTTTGTTTGTCTGAACAGATAATCCCACGCTCCACTGTGACTGCGCGAAGATCGAAATAAAGACCTATTCACTACTTCTCTGGTTTCTTCTATCAATAGCACGAGGGTTACCTTAAGGCACGAAACTGGTGAGCCCTTTTTGAACACAAATTTAACCTCATTTCTGTTATTAACATTTTTTTACTTAATCGTAAAAGTAGACCTGATTATCCGTAAACTAATTTGAGTATATAACTAGTTTATTCCGTATTATCTTAAGTTATTCGTGTTATAGTTACCACTTTTTGTGCTAACTTTATTGCTATATTTGTCGCATACCTCATGTCAGACTCAATAGAAACCCATAATCTGGAGGATTTGTCACCAGTGGAGATAGACACTGTTATGACTACGAAATCCCGACTTCCAGAATTTGATCGTAGTGATCCTGAGTTGTGGTTTGCTCAACTAGAGCATTATTTCACGAGACACAATATCAAATCTGAAGGGATTCGCTATAGAGACTTGTGTTCTATCCTTCCTCCTTCAGTCGCCAAAGAAGTCCGTGACTTGATTTTAAGTCCACCATCACCACAACCATACACCATCTTAAGACGAGAGATAATGAACCGTTTATCATTATCAGATAGTCAAAGAATCCAAAGACTTTTTCAAGGTGAAACACTAGGTGATCGGTCGCCGTCACAGTTTTTACGTCACCTCCAAGTCTTAGTGGGTGATAACACAGTGGGTGAAGCAGTCCTAAAACAAGGATGGATACAAGCTCTCCTATGCTACGTCCAACACTGTTTGGATGCACAAGATCCTGAAACCTCATTATCTCATTTAGCGCGTATAGCCGACAGAATAATGGAAAGAGGTCCTCCAACCGGATCAGGCACAATAAATCACACACAAAAAGTAGAATCAGCAAAAGACCCCGCCATAGAAGGACTCATTGCGAGTGTTAAGAGTCTCACTGAGGCTGTCACCAGAATGCAAATGGGTCATAGAAACAGGAGCAGGTCACCACAACGACCACGATCCAAGTCACAAAACAGGTCACAAATGTCCAGACAATCTGGACAGTTTTGTTGGTACCACTGGAAGTTTGGTGTCAACTCAACCAAGTGCATGCAACCATGCGCCTGGCCTAAGCATAATTCTAAGACAGCGGGAAACGAGTAACCCCTCCCCAGGTCGCGACGACTGAGGAGGGGCGCCTAAACAGTCGCTTGTTTTATGTTAGAGACAGAAACTCG